GGGGAGGGTCAGAGAGAGAGGGAGACACAGAATCTGAAACAGGCTCCAGGCTCTGAGCCAGCTGTCAGCACAGAACCCGATGCGGGGCTTGAACCCATGAACCATGAGATCATGACCTGAGCCGAAGTTGGATGTTCAACTGACTGAGCCACCCAGGCGCCCCTATTGCTGTAAGAGTCTTGGCCAGAGATGCGAGTGGCATTTAACTTCACCACAGAAGAGGTCTCTGTCTTCTGTCCTCAACTCTTGGAAGATGATCTTTGTTTGCCCAGAGGCCTTAGGCTAGACAGGGAATGACATTGTGATTTAAGGTAAGGCTTTGGGTCACATGGTAGCAGTCCAGTGGAGACTTGAGATCAACCCCATGGGGGCTCGATTAATCATGCCCATGTAACGGAGCCCCCAAAGCTGAGACTGAGTCTTGGAATAGCCTCCCCAGTGCACACTATTCTGTGTGTATTGTCACACATCAATACTGGGAAAGTAACTTGTCCTGACTGCATAGGGGAGAGGGCCTGGCAGTCCTACACCTCATAGTTCCCCAGACTCATGAGCTTCTTTCCTTGGCCAGTCTTACTTTGTATCCTTTTACTGTAATAAGCTGTATTATACAGTATATACAGTGAGTATTATAGTGGTGAGTAGGTTCTGTGAATCCTAGCAAATCCTCCCTAGCAGTTTTGGGAATCCCCTTAACTTGCAGTTGGTAGAAGAAGAAGGGGCTGTGGTCTTGTGTAGATTGCGTTCACTCTTACTATACAGTTAGCTAAGTTCCTTACAAAACTCTACTCAAGAGGAATCTGAATCATAAGCTGTTTGCTCTGCCAGATAGGCAAAAACTTGGTTTCTCAGGAAAATAGATCTCTCTCTCTCTCTCTCTCTCTCTCTCTCTCTCTCTCTCACACACACACACACACACACACACACACACACACACACACACACTTTGATAGTTATAGTGTGTTTTTCCTCACTTTTCTATTCTAGAATTACAAAATTATAAAGCACATTTTCTTCCTCTCCTGTCTTAAAATCAAGAGAAAATACAGTCAGTAGAGAAGTTCCACACCCATTATTGGAATTAGCAGACAAGGGCATAAACGATTACAAGTATATAAAATAGTTGGAAAAGAACACTTGGGATAGACAAGTGGTATAATGAGTTGAAGAGTATTTCTCAAAATTTTTTGTCTATCCAGAACCTCAGAATGTGACCTGATTTGGAAATAGTCTTTACAGATGGAGTTAGGGAAGTTACAGTGCAGCCCTGCTATTGGGTCCTAATCCAGTGACTGGTGCCCTTATAAGAAGAGGGAAACCTGGATACAGAGAGACACAGAGGAGAGGGTGTGAAGACAGGGGCAGAGATTGAAGCGAGGCATCTGCAAGCTGAGGAATGCCAGTGCTGGCAGCCACCAGAAGTGAGGAGGGAGACCTGGAACAGATCGTCCCTCAGAACCTCTAACCCTGCTGACACCTGGATTTTGGACTTTCAACCTCCAGAACTGTGAGAGAATACATTCCTGTTGTTTCAAGCCATCCATTTCATAGTACTTTGTTATGGCCCTAGGAAATTAATACACAGGGTAATGAGATATTCTAGGGTATGGATAGCAAACTTCTTAAAAAGGACCAAATGGAAATTCTAGATCTGAAAAATCCAGTAGCTAAAGTCAAAACCACAATGGATGGCCTGAACACCAAATTGGATGTTACAGAAGAAAGAAGTGAACTTGAAGGCAAATAAATAGAAGTTACCACACTGAAGCAGAGAAAATTAAAAGAAAAAAACCTGAGGGGCGCCTGGATGGCTCAGCCAGTTAAGCATCTGACTGTTGATTTCGGCTCAGGTCATGATCTCATAATTCATGAGTTCAAGGCCCTCATCGGGCTCTGCACTGCCAGTGCAGAGCCTGCTTGGGATTCTCACTCTCTCTCCCTCTCTGCTCCTCCATGGATGCGCTCTCTCATGCTCGCTATCTTTCTCGCTCTCCCACTCTCTCTCCCTCTCCCTCTCTTACCTTTTCAGTCTCTCAAACGTTAAAAAATGTTAACAGGAACAACACCACCACCACCAGAACACACTAACAACATCACTTCGCATATGTTATCAAACTGGGAGCTTACATGAAATTGGGATCAATAGAGAGAAAATAGGGCAGGAAAAAATATTTGAAGAAATAAAGACTAAAAAACTTTCTGGAAGCTCACAACATTGTTAAGCAAGACAGATAAAAGAAATCGTACCCAGGTTATCATAGCCAACAGCTGAAAACCATGATAAAAAGAAAAAAGCAGGGGCGCCTGGGTGGCTCAGTCGGTTAAGTGTCTGACTTCAGCTCAGGTCACAATCTCTCGGTTCGTGGGTTCGAGCCCCTTGTCGGGCTCTGTGCTGACTGCCAGCTCAGAGCCTGGAGCCTGTTTCAGTCTGTGACTCCCTCTCTGACCCTCCCCTGCTCACGCTGTCTCTCTCTCTCTCTCAGAAATAAATATAAAAATTAGGGGCACCTGGGTGGCTTAGTCGGTTAAGTGTCCGACTTTTGCTTAGGTCATGATCTCGCGGTTCGTGGGTTCGAGCCCCATGTCGGGCTCTGTGCTGACTGCCAGCTCAGAGCCTGGAGCCTGTTTCAGTCTGTGACTCCCTCTCTGACCCTCCCCTGCTCACGCTGTCTCTCTCTCTCTCCTAGAAATAAATAAAAAACATTAAAAAAAAAAAGAAAGAAAGAAGAAAGCAGATAGAGGAAAATGACACATCCCTCCCCATTCTCCCCACCAGCCCTGTTTCCTGGGAGGTATTGCTTCCTATCCCCAGCCAGTGGCCCAGATGCATATCCAGGCCCTGACATTAGTCTCCATGCTGTTCTAGCTTGAATCCTACCTGTAGCTTCTAGGATGAAGTCCACTCTTCTTTGTGATCACTGTGGCGCCCTTGCAGCTGCTCTCTCACTTCCCGCAACATCTACTTGGAGGGTCTCCAGCTCTTCAAGTGTGCCTTGCCGCCTTCTTCTGGGAACTCTCCTCCTTCAGAATCCCTCCCTGCCATCTTCTCCTCTATTTCAAGCTGGACCTCCTGGGTCCTAGATGTCTGAATAGTATGTTTTGCCTGCATTGTGTGGGTACTGACTTTAGTGACATAAAATTGTAAATTCATCCACAAGCCTTGTGGCATCCTTTCTTCAGACATAATTGACTGTGGGTGGGGGTTTAGACAACGAGTCAGCGTATTGTGGGCCTTGCCAGCCTCTAGTGTCAGCAGCCTCTAGTGTCAGCCTGCACTGTGCTCTTTGCTTTTGGTGTGCTAGCTACATCGGCCTTCTTTTGGTCCGCATACATTCTTTTCAGTCTCAGGCCTTTGCACCTGTTGCTCCTCCGTGAGGCATTCTGTATACCTCCTATACAGAGATTACGCCTAGTCATCCACTTCCCCAGAAAAACCTCTGGCCTCCGGGATGAAGACAAATGCTCCTAAGAACTTGCCTTCACAGTGTGTCTTTTCCTATGAGGACCTGTCGAAGCTGTAACTCTGTTGCGTGATTACTATGTTGATCCCTCTCCCCTTTGCCTGTAAGCTCTGCAAAGGCAGGAACATTGTCTGGTTTTGCCCATTTTGTGTTCTCCAGTAACCAGCACAGAGCCTGGGGGCCGGTAACTGCTCTGGTAACACCTTGTGAGTGAATGGATGGGTGAGCCGGTGGGCAGTTCCAGCAGCATTCTGGCTGAGCATGTTAGTGGTTCCTCTAGGAGTGACTCTTAGAGAAACCTGAAGGTTTTTTCCCCCGTCAAGGACTGACTGCTTTCTATCATGTGTTTCCCAGGAGTGTCTCTTAGTAAAGGGATGTAACCCCTCCTCCCTTCTCTCCATCTCACACTAAGCCGCAGCCTGGCTTAATTCTCTACCCTGTAACAGCTGCTTTCATCTTCCACCCTTAGACTCTCCCTGTTCCCGCAGATGTAGCCACACCTACTGGTGCTACCCTTAGAAATCACTGCATGTACCCTTTTAGAAAGCTAAAAAGTCCTGTTGCAAAGAAGTGCTCCTTAACTCAGGCAACCAGGGGCTCTGTGGGAGGAAGAAACCTGCGTCTGGTTGCACTGGCCTCAGAAGTCAGCTGCAACCTACTGGGCATGGATGGGCTGGGTCACTTTCCGAGTCACACGGCTGAGAAGCAGCAGGGACAGGAGAGGAACTCAACCCTGTCGGCTCTAGAACCCAGGGCTCCCCTGCAAGCTAGGTTGGCTGCTTCCAGGGTACAGCCTGGTTTGGGAAATTGGTACCTTACTGACATTTTCGTAGCAACAGTAGTTTCCCTGTAGATGAGGGGAAGGAGCCAGGAGACCATTCCCTTTCACCACAATAGGAAGCTGAGGCATAACAGGGGTCTACAGGGGCAGATGGCAAGGCAGGCTAGGGTACAGACCCCCGAGCCTTGGGAGCTGGATCCTTGCCCACTCCTCTGGCGCCTGCGCACCGCAGCTCCGTTCCCGCCCAACCCCGCCCAATCGCCCGGGTTTTCAAATTTGAAACCTGCTCCTTTTCCCGCCCGAACTTGTAGACCAGCGCAGGGGGAGGGCGGGGCCGTACGCAGCCAATAGTGCCTCAGAAGCTCCCCAGCCCCGCCCTGAAGGTGACGACAGCAAATTGTAGTGGGCAATGGGCAAATGGGCAAAGGTGCTTGCTGGCCCCGCCTCTGTGGCGCCCACGTGCAGCAGCCGAGCTGGGGCCTCCCAGAGGCCACGGGTTCCCGGACTACATTCTAGGGGCAGATCCTTCACTATCAGCTCCGAGCTGGAAACAGGCCCTGGTACTCCAAGGAGTTGGTGTGGGGTCGCTGAACGAAATGGACAAGATCCTGCTCCCTTCAGCCTGGGGGCTCACCCAAATACTGGGCCTGGAGTCAGTGCCTGTGGCAGCCCTGGGAGTCTGAGGGGATGGGCGGGCTCGTGGAGGTGGGCTGCGGTTCCCTGGTCCCTTCCCAGAGGGGCGGAGCCAAGAACTGGGCCGTCCGGGGGGCGGGGTGCCCGGAGGCGGGGCCCAGCCCCGTGTTTGTTGCACCGTGTCAGTTACATTGTAACAAAAGTGGTGCAGCCGCTCTTCAGACCAGCACCTTAGGCCCGCCCGCCACCAGCTGTCTCCGACATGGAACCTGTGGCCAGCAATATCCAGGTCCTGCTGCAGGCGGCCGAGTTCCTAGAGCGCCGTGAGAGAGGTGAGGAAGAACCCTTGGCCAGACACCAGGCGGCAACCTCGCTGACACGGGCCTGGACTAGACTTGGCTCCCAACTGGAAGGATGCATGCATGGCCTTAGGCAGTAACCCTGAGGCACCCTTTCACACTTTGGCGGGGTGGGGGTTGGTCCACGGGTGGTGGGGTTGGGAAAATGGCCCCGGGGCCAAAAGCCCTTCCCTGACGTGCCCTGCCAGGGGCGCCTGCAGGGACCAGCCCCAGCCTGAAGCGGGCGGGGTGGGGGGGACTCTCTCTGGCAGAAGCTGAGCATGGCTACGCATCCCTGTGCCCGCACCGCAGTACGGGCCCAGTCTACAGGAGGAGGAAGCGATCCCCCCAAGCTTCTGGCACGCTGGACAGTGGGCGGTGAGGAGCGCTGGGGACGGTGGGGAGAGGAGGGGGGATGGGTCCCATCCTTCATGGGGCCTCACCTTTGCCCACTTCCTCCTTGTTGCTTGCATCTTCTAGGCCAGATCCCTTACTCTGGGGGCAATTCAGACCTCTCCTGCCATCTCCTCACTCCCCTCTATTCATCAGGGGACTATTTCTTGAGCAACCCCGATATGTCAGGAACTATAAATAGGACACTTCAGGGTCCTTCTTCCACTCGCACTTCTGCACTTCACGTCTCACTCCACTCGATTTCTCCCACAGGCTTCCTCCTCTTCTCTCGTCTCAACCCTTTGCACTTGCTATTCCCTCCAATTTTAATGCCTCTCCCTCCACTACCCACTTGGGATAGCTTGTTTCTGGCCCAGCTCAGCTGTCATCTCTGCCCGGGAAGCCCTTCCTGACTGCTGGTAGGTGGCCTCGTTTGGACCCCACAACCACCTGGGCAGGCCTTTCAGCTTTGGGCCCAGTTTTCTCTCTCTCTGCCTGGGGACTGCAGTGCCCATGGCTGGCACAAAGTCCCCACATCGGGCTACATTGGGGCAGACAACTATAGTGGATTTTAAGCCCCTGGGACTGAGGGTGTGGTAGTAGTCGCCACCCCCTCACCGCATCCTCCCTGGCATTGGCAGGTCTGTACACAACGAGCTGGAGAAGCGCAGGTGAGTTGCAGCTTTGCCCTGACAGCATCAGGCCCCAGGAACCAACTCCCTTTGGCCTTCCCTCCCCTACTGTCCCTCTGGCCAGCAAGGCTGGGCTGGCACCGCCCTCCAGACTCCTTCTCCTGCAGGAGAGCCCAGCTGAAGCGGTGCCTGGAACAGCTAAAACAGCAGATGCCCCTGGGGGCTGACTGTGCCCGTTACACCACACTGAGCCTTCTGCGCTGGGCCAGGATGCATATCCAGGTATGGAGCTACCCGCACCCTGGGGCCAACCTGCCAGAACTCATGAGAGGTATAGTAGGGAGGTGCTGAGTGAAACTGGGGAGAAAGGCCTAAGGTCATAGCCCAACAGTGTGACATGGGACAGTTTTCTGTGCTTTTAGCTTCCATATGTGTTAAAGAGGAAGAACAGGAGAAAGTAAGGATTGTTAGGAGGCTTAGTGAGTTTGCCCAGTAAAGGTTCATGGCTATTACAGTTATCACTTCATCCTAACTGTGCAAGTTACTTAGCCTCTTTGGACTTTATCCTCCTCTGTAAGAGGGGCATGACTGTTGAAAATATTGATGGGTCATGTGTCAGGGTCCCTAGAACTGCAGAGGGCTGTTTTTCACTCTCCCACTCTCCCGTCCTTCAAGGCCTCCTGTTCTGAGCCCTCTATTCTGATACCATTTTGAAAAGTAGTTCTGAGGCCAGGACAGGGGAAGGACAGAGCAAGTCAGTCACCCATCCTCCCAGGGCCCTTTCGCTGCTTGTGCTAAGCTTAGCACCCCCTGGTGGACAGGAGTGGGGTGTGCCCCAGGCAGCCCCCCACCAACCTCCATGGGAGGTTGGGGAGTGGACCAGAAGAGGCCTTGGGGAACCTGGGTGGCTCAGCTGGTTAAGCGTCCGACTTCGGCTCAGGTCATGATCTCATGGTTTGAGCCCCGCGTCGGGCTCTGTGCTGACAGCTAGCTCAGCCTGGAGCCTGCTTCGGGTTCTGTTGTCTCCCTCTCTCTGACCCTCCCCTGCTCACGCTCTCTCTCTGAAATAAATATAACATTTTAAAAAATTTTAAAAAGAAAACAAGAGGCCTTTTCTTGCCCACTTGGCCCTTTTGACAGAGGCAGAAATGGGGACACAGGCAGGCTAAGTACCAAGCAGCATAGATACTGAGAGGCAGAATCATAACCCAGGCTCAGGTTCCCTGACTTGCAGAATCTGAAGCAGACTCCAGGCTCTGAGCTGCCAGCACAGAGTCTGATGCGGGGCTCGAATTCGCAAACTGAGCTCATGACCTGAGGCCAGTCGGATGCTTAACCGGACTGAGCCACCCAGGTCGAGTGTTTATTGAGCTCCTGTTCTACCAGGCCCTGTTCTAGGCACCAGGGGTTGTGGCAGAGATCCATGTGCTTACACAAGTAAATCATGGTGCAGGGAACGTCAGCACTGCCCTGTAGTGCCTGCATCCCCTCACTCTGTTGAAGAACACCCTGGCCAGGTAGCAGGTCCATTTCTCACATGGAGCTTACCTGGCATGGAGCTTGGAGGGGTGATGTGTCCCCTTGGGTGCTGGCTGGCCCGTGCGCAGGAGCTGGGGATTGCTCCTTCCTTGAAGTCCTATCACGCCTCACCTGGACTCCCTACCTCCTGTTTTGCCTTCTCCAGGCTGTCCTCCATCTTGCCCTAGAATGTTCTTTGCAGCACATAGCTCTCTCTAGGTCTACTGCTGGAAACCTTCCGTGGCTCTTGACAGGACAGTCTCAGTTCCTGCAAAACTGTAGGCCCTTCACAACTCAGGCCTTGCCACTGGTCAGCTTTTGGTCTCCCGTATCCCTGTGCCTCACCAGCAAAGCTGAATTCGCTATGCTCTTCTCAGTTTCCTTCAGCTACGATGCTTCCTCCTGCTCCGTCTTTGCCTAGGCAGCTCTTACTCATCCTTCTACACCCAGTACAAACGTCCCCTCCTCCAGTTCTCCCCTTCTTGTTGACTGAACGCAGGCTTCTGGCCACCAAAGGCTCTGGTGGGAGGACCCTTGGCCCTCCAGTCCTTGGAACCCAGGCTGGCGGAGGTTGAGGAGGATTAATGCTGAAGCCGCAGGGTTCCTGGGAGTCTTGACTGGGAGTTACAAACTGGTAGCCTTTGTTCGGCCTGTAGTTTTCTAAAAATTTGTATTAGTTGGCAGTACTTAAAAGGACATTGGACATGAAAAAGTCCGACTTTACAGCTTCTCTTAGAGAAAGGAGGATGTCTGGCAGCACCAAGCCTGTTTGTGTAAGCCGCACCTGGCTAGTACCTGGAGGTGGCCACCTTGAGCTGTGGTGCCCACTGGCCGGTGTGCAACAGTCCTCCCCAGTCCCTGCTGCTCGCCATTACCGGACTCCTTTAATGTCACCGGACTGGGCTCTGAGAGCCTGAGATTGGGGTGCCCGCCCTCCCTAACTCAACAGAAGAGTGCTCATGGGCTCTTTACATGGGCCCAAGCCTCCAGGCAACTGACCCCACAGCCCCTTGCTCCCTTGGGACCTGCAGAAGCTGGAGGAGCAGGAGCAGCAGGCGCGGTGGCTCAAGGAGAAGCTGCGCAGCAAACAGCAGAGCCTGCAGCAGCAGCTGGAGCAGCTCCGGGGGCCGGCAGGGCCAGGTGAGAGGGAGCGGCCGCGGGCAGACAGCCTGGACTCTTCTGGCCTCTCGTCAGAGCGCTCGGACTCAGACCAAGGTGAGTGCCCTGAAGCTGAGAGGTCGCAGGGAGCAAGCGGGCTGCGTCTGCTGACCGGATCCCTCCCTGTGCAGAGGAGGCCGAGGTGGACGTGGAGAGCCTGGTGTTCGGGGGCGAGGCTGAGCTGCTGCGGGGCTTCGGCGCGGGCCAGGAGCACAGCTACTCACACGGCAGCGGCACCTGGCTATGACCTTCACCGTCCCGGAGTGGACCTCCACCCTCAGACTACTCTCCGCTCTGCCGGCAAGGCTCCCCCAAGCCTCGGGGGCTGCTTGGAGTCACCTCCTGTTGGAATGGACTAAAAGGACCCTTGTGCGGGAACAGATGCCTGCCCCTCACCTTGCCGCTGGCTGTTAGCTGTCCCTCCTGGGGGAGGGGTGCCTGGGTTTCCCGAGTCCTCCGGGGCAGGCAGCTTAGGCCTGGGCCACTCATCCAGGCCTTTTTTTGTAGCACTTGGCTCTGCTGTCCCCAAGGAGGCAGGAAGCCTCTTGGGCCCTCACAGTCCTTCCTAGACAAGGCCCTCTTGGCCTCTGTCCCAGATACTGTACAGTATTGTCATTAAAAGCCTCTTTACTAACTTCCTGTACATGGTCTTACCCGATGAAAACGGGGAACACCCCGCTGCTGACAAACTGGAAAAGAGGAAATGAGATCAGTAGCCATTACTAACACTGTTGACCATATCAGCAGTGTCCCTTTAATCTTCACAGTTGGGGGCTGTCTCCACCTCACAGGCTGGAGGAGGCTGAGCGGGGTGACCTGCCTGCCTGAGGTCCAAAGCCAGCAAAGCACGGAGTCAAGATTCGAACTAAAGGTTTCTGACTCCAGAGCTAGGGCTGATTGAATTCAACAAATATTTATTGAATGCCTATTATGTGCTAGGTATTGTTCCAGGTACTTGGGACACATCAGAGAATGCAATAAAGGTCCCTGCCCTCATGGAGCTTACAGTCTAGTGTTTGTTACCCTTGCATCTGCACGCTGTGACCCCGGGTATGTCACTGCACCTCTCTGCCTGTCCTCAGCTGCCCGATGCGGGAGTAAGCAGGCCCGGCTCAGACATGGGTAACATGCCTGGTGTACCGTAAATGCCAAACGGGACACCCCCGCCCCCCCCTCCAACCCACCACCTAGACAATAGCAAGAGCCGGAAGCTGACTTTTAATAATCAAGAAGGAGGGGGAAGGGCGGAGGGATTTGAGCCGGGTGGTCAGGCGTCCTACCGCACCAGGGCCTGGGCTATAGCTACACGAATTGCTGCTGCTGCTGCTGCTGCTTGGTGGCTGCCTTGCTGGCAAGGTCCTTGGCCTTCTCTGTAGCTGCCAGAGCCGTCTCCTTTGCCTTCTCCTTGGCTTCCTTGGCTGTCTCAACAAGGGTTTTGGAAGGGGCCTCACCTGCAGCAAAGGGCAGGGGCCGGCTTCAGAGGATGCCAAGAAGACCTGCTTCATCACCCCTCCGTGACATTCACCCTCTTTGGGCCAGGCCCCCTCGGAAGGGTGGTATTTGCCCCAGGGGACAGATGAGGAGTCCCAGGCTTAGAGGGGGTGGTGATAGCCACAGACTCCATACCATTCGGGGCAGCTAGGACTTGACCCCAACTTCTCTTTGTGCCCAGAGCCCTCACCTTGCAGCTTGGCCAAGATGTATTCAAAGCCCTTCATAGTCTTGGTCACATTGCTTTTGAACCGGGCAAGGCCAAATTCCTGGCAAAAGAAAAGGGGGAAGACGTGGAGCTTCCCATTGATCCCTAGCCAAGCCTTTGAGCCAAATGCCTGGGCCCCCAAAGACCCAGCACCCCCACAAAGCTGCTCACCTGGACAGCTCTGGAGACACCGAATAAACTAGAGGAGACCCAGGCTTCCCGGCGGATTTCGGTCCAGCCACTGTTATCAGAGTTCACACAGTAAACACATCGTTCCTCCACCACCTGTGTGGGGAATCAGGCCAACCACAATCATGGGGAATCTTTCCCTTTACCAAACGTGCACATCAATTTGATCTCTTGCCTCTTTTTCACAAGACAAGGCAATAAAATGAGAATCTACTTCTTTTGCTTACTGTATTCCCAATCTGCGTTTCAGGAAGACAGCAAGAACATAAAAAAAGGCCATTCTGCTCTCTAAAACCTCTCCTCTGACTCTTCAAACTAAAAGGCATATAGATTCGAGATCACTAGAGCGCCTTCCAGCTCCATCCTGGCCCTGGTAGCTTTCTGTGCTGTGCTTTTAGCCTGCCTTCCACTGACTGCAGCTCTTGAGCTCCCTGGCAGTTGAAATAAAAAGGGAAATCTGGCATCGTCACAGCTCCCATCACCACTCCCTCCCGTTATCAGCGAAGTGTACCACCAGTATTTCCAAAAAGAAACCCTTAAAAGAGATGTCTTGACATCTGGATCACTATCTTTGTAACTTATAAAAACACAGATTATGCCCTCAGGAGAGTCTGCTGTGAAGCCTTCAGAACACTCCAGGGGAGAATATCAGGGTGCCTGCTCACTCTGTGACCTTGTAGGACACTTCCCCTCTCTGAACCTCACTTCCCGCTTTGCATAACAGTAATACCTACCTCCCAGGGTCACTGTGAAGATTAGCTGAGAAAGAAGAGTACTCTGAAAGCTTTTAGAATATTCACAGGAGAGGGGCGACTGGGGTGGGGTGGGGGGTGGGGCTCAGCCGGCTAAGCGTCAGACTTCTGGCTCAGGTCATGATCTCACGGTTCGTGGGTTCGAGCCCCGCGTCGGGCTCTGTGCTGACAGCTAGCTCAGAGCCTGGAGCCTGCTTCTGATTCCATGTCTCCCTCTCTCTCTGACCCTCCCCTGTTCATGCTGTCTCTCTCAGAAATAAAACATTAAAAAAAAAATGTTCACATGAAAGAAAGAAGATACTGCACTATATTTCTTTAACAATAGATTTTCAAGCTATTTTATGTGCAAGAAATCAAAACGTGTAAGAACCTCTTCCTCCAAAATCTCAGGCAGAAATCCATTATGTAAGACAGATAAATGTCTTAATAAATATCATACAACAGAACAACTCTGGCCCATAGCCTCTCCTCTCTGAGGCACAAAGAAATTCCCCCTGGCGGCTTGATGGAGTCCTGTTTGAAAATTACCACCCCCCTCCCTCAGCATCACTCCTGTGGGCCCAAACTAAACATGTGCCAGGCACCATGAGGATACTCTGTATTTAGTCCTTGAAACAACTCTGTAGAACGGATACCCTCAGTTTGAACGACTTAAAAGACTGGTCCAGAGATGCTAACCAGATAAAAAGATCATCTGAGTTTACACTCTAGAGCTATCACTCCCTAGTAACCCAGATATGCCCCAGACCACAGAAGTTCCTTCACTGGCTCCCTAGACACAGACACCTGGAGCTTTCTACTTCTATGTGACCAAGGGGAGGGTAGTCTCACCATCAGCCGGGCATGGTTGATGTTCCAGGTGAAGGTGGTCATGGTCTGGTTCTGCGGGTCCACAATAGAATCCTCCAGGATGTACACCGAGTGAGCAACATTGGCAGGAAACAGTCGCTCGGCCCAGCGGGGCATCCTGTTGGTCTTGGTCAGGAGACGCCGGGACAGGAGCTTCTGGTCAGGGGTCACCTCCCGGTGCACTATGTCTTCCGTCAAGACATGTTTGCTGCAAGTATCAGAGTAAACGTGACTCTCCGGAACATACCGCCTGCTGGGCTTGCATTTGGAGCCTCCTGGCCCAGAATGGCCATGCCTTCCCCAAACTTGGCAGTATCACTTGCAGTGATAAGTGGTGTAGTTTGGACCTGATCTACAGTGCCTTGAGCCTATCCGCAGGCAAATTCCAACTCCCGCCCCCTCGCTGACCGGATTCCAGTGGGGACTGGACCTCATGATTTATTACACCCGTGGAGAATGCCACAGGCACTGGAGTTGGCCAGCGCCCGGGTTTCCAACCTCAAGATCCCTCCCAACTCCTGTGCCGCCGCCTCTTCCTGAGAAGTGAGAGAACCTTGGACTACAGCCTCAAGGCCCAGCCTCCTTCCACTACCTTGCAGGCCTGGCCTGGCCGCTTCACGGATAGGGTTTTCTTACCCTACAGACGGCCGCGGTTCCGCCGAACCCCTACCTACGACTCGATGTCGAGTCTTTCCCGGTCCCACACTTCGATATCCAGTGAGGGGGTAGGATTGCTCTTTCCAGGGCCACGTACCTATAGGGATTCGGGTACCGCTGCCAGAAGGCAGCGAACACTTGGTCCCAGGAACTCCGGAGCACGCTCTGGCCCAGGAAATATTTCACCATCGTCCCGGCCGGGGCGGGCTCAGCACCCAAGCAGCATCAGGGGTGCAAAGCCCGGGGTGGGCACGCGGAGGCCGGGCCGGGGCTCGGCGCACGCCCGCCAGGCTCGCAGCTCAGTCACCACCGCGCCGCGCCCAAGCAGCCTCCGCCGCCATGAGGAGTTGTCGAGCCGCGCGCAACTTCCGGCGCAGCCGCTCAGCCAGCACTTCCGGCGCCCTCACACGTGATCCCGCGGTCCCGCCCCTCCCCCTCTCCCCCCTCCCCCTCCCCCGCGGGAGTCGCGGCGCTGCGGGTCTGACCCGGGTTGAAGGGGCCCCCAGGTTCCGTGGGGAATCCGTGCGGGAGCGACACCTAAGTCCCTCAAACGAGCTGGGCGGCGGCGTGCGGCGCGCGGCGCCGTTAAGGGCGCTGCCGCGCGCGCTCCCAGGCCGCCCCGAATCCTGGGCTCTTCGAAGGAGGATCCGCGCCTGGGGCCAAAGAGCAGGGCAGACGGGGGCACTGCCGGAGCTCGAGCCGACTCAGTGTCTCCAGTCTTAGGTTGGTGCCTGGGGTCGGGGACCGAGGTGTGGGCACTGCCTGCCAGAGCGGAGATCCGGGTTTGCCTCCGCCCCCGCTCAGGACCCTGACGCGGGTGAGGCGGCCCCGGGAGCATGAGCGGGCAGCGCGTGGACGTCAAGGTGGTGATGCTGGGCAAGGAGTACGTGGGCAAGACAAGCCTGGTGGAACGATACGTGCACGACCGCTTCCTGGTGGGGCCCTATCAGAACGTGAGTGCGCTCTGCGGGGCCGGGCACGAGTGGGAGGGAGCTGACCGGCACCCGCGGCCCTGATCGCTTCCTCCCCCCCCCCCCCAACGATTGCAGACCATCGGGGCCGCCTTCGTGGCCAAGGTGATGTCCGTTGGAGACCGGACAGTGACTTTAGGTATTTGGGTAAGTCCCCTGGGCAAGTAGTCCTGAGATAACCCAATTCTGAGGAGGCTTAGGTTCTCCTATTACTGGCTGACTTGTAGTCTCATAGAGGCCATTTCTCTAAACCCCAGTGTAAAAATGGGGGTCTGAAGGACGTGGTATTATTAGTTTGCAGTCTTGGGGAGTAGCTCAGTAACTCAGGCCAGGGCTGAGCCACCCCCTGCCCTTCAGGACACAGCAGGCTCTGAGCGCTACGAGGCCATGAGCCGAATCTACTACCGGGGTGCCAAGGCTGCCATCGTCTGCTATGGTAAGAGAGGTTCTGGCCTGTACCTCAAACAAGGGTTGGGTGTCAGGCTGGCCTTAGAGAACAGCCCCTAACCCTTGGTTGTGTTTCCTGTGTGTCCCACATCAAGACCTGACGGACAGCAGCAGCTTTGAGCGGGCAAAGTTCTGGGTGAAGGAACTGCGCAACCTAGAGGAGGTAAGTGCTCAGACCTCACCAGAGGACCAGAGGCTGGTGGTCCATGGGAGTGACCCTGACCTTGCCTTCTGCTGCAGGGCTGTCAGATCTACCTGTGCGGCACCAAGAGTGATCTGCTGGAGGAGGACAGGCGGCGTCGCCGTGTGGACTTCCATGACGTCCAGGACTATGCAGACAGTAGCTATTCCTCAGCTCTCTGGGGGTGGGGGAAGTGGTTGCTTGGGTGGACCATAAAATAGGGACTGCCTTAGCTGCCATGGCAAGATCCCTTGGGAGTTTCTTCTGGCCTCCCTGAACGTGTGGGTTCCAGTAAGATTCCCTGAATTGCTAGCCTTCCCCTTTGTGTCCACCTTCTCAGGTAGGAGGCATTAGTCATTTCTCTTTACAGATATCAAAGCTCAGCTCTTTGAAACATCCAGCAAGACAGGCCAGAGTGTGGGTGAGTGCTGTCCTGGGCCTCACAGCAGAACAGGAAGGGGCACCAGAGGAGGCAGAGAAGAGCCTAGAGGGCTGGGTTATTGGGTGATTCCAAGGTTACTGGCTTTGAGCTCTCACCGACTTGTCCTTTTTCCTGCCAGACGAGCTTTTCCAGAAAGTGGCAGAGGATTACGTCAGTGTGGCTGCCTTCCAGGTGATGACAGGTGTGTGCTTCCCCAGCCTCTCTGGAGACTTCCTTCCTCTAGGCCTGCTGCATCTTGCCCCCTTCACAAGTTACCTGATCCCCAAACAGAATGGTGCTAAATTGCCACCTCTCGTTGACAGAGGACAAGGGCGTGGATCTGGGCCAGAAGGCAAACCCCTACTTCTACAGCTGTTGTCATCACTGAGTCACCACCGTTCACCTGGCCTGGGGGGGGGCTGGATATTAAAGGAATTTCCCCAGAGAGCTAGACCTAGCTCTTGTCTGGGGTTGAGTGGTCAACTGTCTGAGCTACCCCCAGTCCCCATGACAGCAGGGGTGGCACCTGCCTGTGCTGGCCCATGGAACGGAGGCAGCATTGGGCTGACTGATGGGCATGAGGAGGGTAAAGGCTTATTTGGACCCCAGGGTCCTGCCCTGGACAGCACTTGTGTCTGCAAATTATTTAAGTGGCTTCTGATTTGTAAATAAAAGCAATGCACTGTGAATCACACTCAGCCCCTCTCCCTGCTGTGCCAAGACACCTAGTTCTTTCTGGTGCCACTTGGCTGTCCTCACTTCCTATATGAAGGCTCCTCCCAGCTCTTATTTTGGAAACCAAGTAACTTCACCCCAGGGAAGCAGCTGAGATAATGGAGAAACAAAAGGACCTTCTTCTGTTCTTTAGGGGAGACAAAGATAGGTGAGAGATTGTGGTTGGGGCAATGCAAAGCTCACGTTTCCATCTTGGTATTGAGAAGAGCAAGGCAGGCACTTAAATGGTGTCCAGATATCAAAGGGTCAAGCACTCCTATCTCACTGGTTGGTTCTACCACTATTGTTGTCTAGGTCCATGAGTCATGTCTGTGGCTCAGACCTTAAGCTTCCCAGCAATATCTTAACAATGTGGGTTAATGGGAGAAGAATCATAAGTTCTGCAAGACAGAAAGGTCTCCTAGATCCAGACTGGGATCCAGTTCAGCTATCAACAGAAAAGGACCTGAACTCGGCTGAGTTTCTCATTTGTAAAATGAGGTGACCATCACCAAGTTCAGGATGCTCAAGATCTGGAAAAAGTGACTCTAGTTAACTCTAGGCCTGAATGCTTGTCTTCTCATGCTACTCTTCCCCAGAGCTTTGTGCTGAAGGGGCAGGAAGTTCAGGACTACGTGAGGAGGAGAGACAGACTCCCAAGACTCCCCCAAAGTATATTTTTGGGCCTTAGGCATATATCTGTAGACAGGGCTGGTGCTTCCTCTTCAACTAAAAAGCATACGCCAGTCCTTTCCAGTTATGGGAGCCTGGGCCAGGTTTTCTACACCGCCTAGCATCTATCTCTGAAGAACTAAAAATGTGGCCAGAATGGCCAGACTCACACTCTGAAAGTACTATGGTTCCACTTCCCTTTTTAAAACCAATTCCTCAAAATATCCTTCCTTCATGGGTAATGGAAGCTTCCTGTATAGGGGCTAGAACAGACACCGGCCACTCCCAAAGGAAGTGAAAACCATTCTGGCAGATGGTGGCTGCTGCAAGAAAACCCATACAACTCCTAGGAGATGCTCAGAGGGGCTACCTCCACCATGTCCCCGACCTGGGAACTATCTCAGGGGCTGGCTTCTGCTCTCACCCACACACATCCTCCCTCCTGTTACGCTACATCTCCCCACGGACAACAAACAAAACACAGGGCAAGGGCCATAAGAGTAAAGTTAAACTTTACTTTACAGTAATTTTTTTTTCTATATACAAAGAATTACAGTACATGTTTATGGGGACTCCTACAGGGCTCCCCTCTTTTTCACTAAGTTTCACTTACAGCTGACCATCTATGGGGGGAAGGGACAAAAGACCAGTGATGGACCTCGGCCAACACCCCCCCCAACACACCTTTCTTAAAAATATAGAGATTTGTATTGTCAGCTTGTTTCTTTGCCAAGACTTAGAAAGCTGCTCTTCCATGCGCTCCTGTGTGCTGCACTCACCCATCTTCAACACACTCCTCTACATGCACACACAGGCAGCACCCACCTTGGACCTGGAGACCACCTGCTCTCTGCCCCTCCCCTGGAAGTCTAAAGCACCAGGACCATTCACTTCTGCTCCTGTTCCCTGGGCTCATCTCCTGTCCACATTTACTGGACTTCCAGGGTGTTGCACCTGAAGCCCCTCAATAGCCGGATGTTTTGAAAGCCATGGGAAAGCAGCTCCAGAGAAGGGACCATGTAAGAGTTTAACATGATTTTGCTTATGCTGGTAGGAAACATTTCTTCTCAGGTGGTGGATTTCTAATTAAAATAAACTCTTTCCACCTCCTTAAGAAATATTACCCTTAATCTTCATAAGCGGTAGAGGTGCTCCCATGAGAGTGGAAGAGGTAGAGAGGGGCAGAAGGTAACTGAAGGAGAACCCCAGAGTAGGAGCTCTCTACCAAACTGTCCTAGGCAGTGTGGACGGAGGCTACACCAGGTGACAAAGTGACACCAGCCCTGAGAAACTCAATGACCACCCTCATCTGGATACAGCATCTCTTCCACCTAGGACTGCGCTGAACCACTCCAGGGTCAGGTGCAGGCTTCGCTGAGGCTCTGCCTTCTTCTCTAATAGAGCCTCAAAGAAACCATTCTACATGAAACTTCTTCCTCCCAAACAGGAACCCGAGTTTCTCAAGTCACCAGTCCCTCAACCCTTGGCAGTGCTTATTTATATCAGAAAATTAGCACCATCATTACATTTTTGTGTGTTCAAAGCAATTATCTATTCTTATTTCAATTTTACTACAGCAACCTCTGGCCCTGCTGCATTGGCCCTAGGAAGCTCAGCTGAGAGCTCACTGGCTGCAGCCAACGAAAGTCTCATGCAGCAGCTACCTAGCTCTAAGTGATCTGGAATGTCTAGCACACGAAGCAGCCCGAGCATTATTCAGCAGGAAAAGGGGCTTGTGGCAGCTCCTTTCTTGTCATGATCTCCGGTTAGGACACTGCGTCACTCTGACCTCCTGGTTGACAAACCCCAAGAGGATGACAATATCCTCCAAAAAGCCTTAGGAGAAAATCCACTTTATAGGAGCTGAGGGCAAAATCCATCCACACTTAGTGCTTTCCTGATTCCTCTCCACAGGGGAAGCTGCCAGGACCAGATTTCTTTCCTGCCACTCTGTTCTCATGATGCAACCCGGGAGTCCAGCTCCAGTGAGTAGATGCTGCTGAGCCTGGGAAAGGATCGCTGATGCACTTTGTGCCCTGATTGTAGTGTGGGGTAGAGAATGTGAAGATAAAATAATTATTTTCATCGATGCTAAAGATGCAGATTTGGTAGTTTTTCTTTAGAGGATCAACAAACACAGTGATTTAAATCACCTCAAACTCAGTAACTTCAGGGGGAAGCAGACATTTAAAAACCTGGGATGCTTCTGTAGCAAAGACAGTTATTTTGCTATTAGAATGAGTTTGCTCCAGGCAAAGCAAATGAGGCTTTGAATTCAAATTTCAACAGTTTTTCTGACTTAACAGGGCTAGGAGAAGCATTGGTTCTTTAGCTATGGAAGCCATGGCTTCCCCCTCTGAAACACTTCCTGAGGACTGGCTTAGAGGCAGACACTCTTTGAGATCCTGATTTCCAGGGACTTGGCCAAATACCAAAATGCTATCCTGCACAAAGATCAGGAGTTTCTAAGAGAAAAGCTTTCCTTTTAACTGCCAATTCATGTCCTCTGGAGAAAAGGTCTCAGTACAAGACTCCAGGAAGAGTCCCCAAGGGCTGGCAAGGTCACTCCCTCACCACTGTCCTTATGGAAGGGTCTCAATTTCCCAGAGTCCAGTCCTTGGACTCTGCTTCTAATTGTACAGTGACTGCTTTCATGTTAACAATCTGGTATCAGAAGCTGCTGTCAGTGGACCTGATAGCTGAATTTCTAGTTTCCATTCCACCGAAGAGTCTTTCAATAACCCTCAAAAAAGCCTGGCTGTCCATCCATTTAGATAAAGAACTGCCACCATCCCCACCCCACCCCCAAACCAAGCACAAAAGTTGTTTTCCCAGACAGGTCTGGAAGGAAGTTTCCAGTAAATGGTGGAGAATGGAAAGAACCAAACCAAAATCACAAAGTGGCCAATCATGGCCCACCTTTCCCTTAACTCCTTGTCCTGTGAGACATATCTTGAGCGGCTGTCAAGTCAATTACCTACCAAAGCCTACTTCAGAGAAGCTATTTAAGGATCAAACTTCTCCACTTAAAATTTTTTACATAGCCTGCACATACCCCGCCCCCCCCAAATTCACAGTTTATTTCATGAAACAAAGAGCTACGGTAATTTAACACACAACATAGTGAAAGGAGATTCTGACAGTGCAGTGGGAATAGCTTTCTGATCACAACTACTGATGACAGGAGAGAAAAGGGCACAGGACTGGCACCAAGCAAACCCTACTCATACAGCCTAAGAGATTAAGGAAAGGGACCTACTAGCTGCAGTTATATACTTATTCTCACACATGATAAATACTTAATATAATGAACTTTAATGTTCTGGGTGGATTTCTTTAAAAATATCTTCTCCATGGTTTAAAATTTTTTTAAAAGAAAATAAGATGCTTTGTTTTCTCTTCCTTTTAAACAAAGAGCATTTCCTCTCTCATGATATGGGAAGAGAGACAGGATGGAAAGGGGAGAACTAGGCAGGTGGAATTTACAGAGGAGATTCCGAGGTCTAAGTGAGATGCAGAGATATGCCCCCAAACTTGGGACAGCCCTGCCCAGCCTCGTACCTCTGCCTGAGTTCAAGCGTCTCATCCCGAGACAGACTTTGGGAAATAAAAGCAAATTTTTCTTCTAATCTTTATATAAAGCGCAAATGCTTCTGTAACCATTGTTCCCTCCTTAGAAGTGATACGGGCAACCTTGATAGGAACTTAGGAGGAGGAAATTGGGACAAAATACAGAATCCTGTTGAGGGTGTAAAAGCCGTAAGTGAGACAGAATGGCCAGGAGACATTTGGGTCAGGAGATGGCCTGTTGGCTAAAGCTGCTGGCTAAGTTGGCAAAGCAGAGAGGTAAACACATTTGGTCTAGGGACAAAGGAGGGGTGAATGAATGGGAAGGAACTGGCCAAACAGCACTTCCTGTTGGCAGTTGGTGAGCTGGGTGAATAGTAGGGCAGGGTAGCACCAACAGATTTCCCAGCCCTTGGGCCCCAGCTCAGGGCAGCAGTAACAGATAATCAGCAGTTATGAGGAATCATATCTCAGACTGGACATTGCTCTAAACACCGTATCTTGCCGGTCATAGGGGAGAGGTTCTGGCTTGCCTTTGAACTAAATTAGCAGGCAGGTGCTCTTAATATAGAACACAGCAATTCTCAGGGATAGGGTGGTAGAACTCACCAGTGAAGGAGGGGACTCCCTCCATTTAGGTAGGAGGGCAAAGGATCAAAAGAGAAGCAATTTTCCATCAGGACCTGGGACTCTCCCTGAGCTGGTGGTAGATCTAGCCCAGAGCTTGCCAGAGATTCCCTATGTCCACTGCCTGACTCTGAAATCTGAAAGCACCTGAGTTTGGGGGGCAGGCATGGAGTGGGTTGATGTAAAAGGAAAAAAACCAGTAGAAAAGAAAGGTAAGCTTGCCAATTGCCTTCTTGTACTCTGAGAAAGCTACATCCTTGTAGAGCTCAGCCCCCAAATCAGCTGCTCTGCCAAGGACAGAGCTTTAGACTCTGCCCAGCCAGCAGCTCCACTTGGCCTTGATGCAACCCCCTCTTGCCTACAGAGAAGACCCCCACATAAGGGTGTGTGCATAAACATGCACACTCAACCAGGGGACACTTACTCAACACAACCACTTCTGGGGCTACAGAGGACATTACGAAATGAGTCTGTGGAACCCCAGGGCCCCTCAGAACTTCCTGTTATTTCCCAGTCAAAGGTTCGTGAAAATAGCCTGGGACCCAGGCAGGCAGGTTAGGCTCACAGGGATCAGGTCTTCTTTATCTCTGTATCTCCTGTCAGTGACTAGCACCTGGCCTAGCACATGTGAATGATCAAGAAATCACCACTGATATGAATAGATGTCAGTTCCTCCCAAGTGTTCATCAGGTGCCCTCAGTGGGGCTCTGTAGAGCTAGAGAAATAGCTTTGAGAGCCCCTCTAGCTTCCAACCTAACCAGTGGAATTGAATCCCATGCTTGACTCCAGAGTGGACTTTTTATTTCAAGTTACCATGTGTAAAGGTTGGAGGAAAAAGACCCAAGTTTGTCTGTCTCCTTGGTTGGGGCCCACTTGGATTTCCATACATGGTTTACACAACCACATGCCCCCACTGGCTAATGTCACAAGAGTTCTGAGTGTTGGGATATAAGGAAAGAATAACAGTGGGAAAGTGTTGGGGTCTGTTTTTTTTAAGAGAGGAAAAGAAAGATGATTTCCCTTCCCCAAGAACCCTGGGGGCAGCTGGTCTGGTCATGTGACATTTACTTGTATTATTTCTGTTCTGACTCTGCACACGTGTGACTGGAAGGAGCCTGGTTAAGAGCTGGAAGTGTATTTTGCTCTGGTTTAGGGTCTTGCCCTCTTCCAAGAGACCAGCAAGTCTGTGCCAATGTCTGTGTGCTCCCAGAGGACCAGCAAGACGGTGATATTGTCTGTCCAGCCACCATGGGCCAGAGCCCTGGCCCTGGTGAGGCCTTTCCCAGGGCCCAGGGACTCTGCTCTGTGGTTGCCAACTTCTTCTCTTCAGTACAGAGGGAGGATGGGGCCTTCCCAAGGGGCCTGAAGGACTGCCCACTCTTGGCAGCAAGTCCAGGTAGTTGCTGGCCTCCGGCCATCTGCTTCACCTGCTTCACGAGGCCCGATGCTTGACCAGGAGGCCCTGATGTCTGCTCTACCCCCGCAGATGCTCTTCCTGAGGCCGGAGTTGTTGGCTCATATAAAAAAGCCTTGGCAGGGGACTGAGAGAGAAGTCTGGCCTGGGTGAGTGATTTAACCGCTTGCCAGGGGTGCTCCAAAGGGACTGCTGCTTTCCCCGGTGGCTGCAGGACAGCATCTGCCACATTGCCTCTCTCTATAGCCCTCGGCATCTGCCCTAGACCTTTGCTGGCAGTCCATGAGCTTGATTCCAACACCGGCATCTTCTCATCAATCTGTGATGTGACCTCATGAGGTGAAGCAGCCCGTTCTTTCTGGTGAGGAGTTAAGTCTATGAGATCCATTACCAAAGCAGCTCTATTTTTTGACTGAGTATTCTGGTCCACAGGCCTCAGTGCTTTTTCCTTAGCTACCAGGGTCTGGACCACAGCTGACAGTACTTTGTCAGGAGGTGGGAGTCTCTGGGACAAAGGAGCATGGGATTTGTCTGGGGGCCTGTCTGAAGTCTGGGGTTTGGGACCGCTGGTGACTAGCAGTCTGTCAGGCGGTGGAAGTCTTAGGCCAGTAGGGACTGGGGTTTTCTCCAGCGACTGGGGCCTTGGGCTGGCAGCACCTATGGATTTATCCATCCTTGGGTCAGCCGTCCCCAGAGGTCTTTCCAGTGGTTGGGACCTGACTGAGGGTGAGGAGCTTATGCCGGTCACTGGAGAGGGTTTGTCAGATAGTGGGGGTCTTGGTCCTGCCACTGCAGGTGGCCTGTCCAGTGGCTTCTGGCTGGATACCAAGGATTGGGGTTTGGTCCCCGACCCAGCAAGGTCCCTGACCCTATCTACAGGCTGGGGCCTGGAGTCAGTTCTGTCAGGAGGTCTTTCAGGCAGCGGTGGCCTCTGACAAGTTCCTGCCAGAGCTTTTTTGGACAGTGACAGTGTCTGGTTGGTGTCAGCAGGCAGCTTATCCATCATCTTGGGCCCCTGAGCAGCCACTCCTGACGAATGCTCTGCCAGGTGAGTGCCTGGGCCTGGAGGCAGCGGTACTGGGGGAGGCACATACTCACGGATCTCCCCAGGTTCCAGAGGATTGGGCCCACAGGGGTCATGCTCAGTACAAGACAAACGCCCATCCAACTTGGAGATGAAGAGCATCCCTTCCCGATGCTGCTTACAAAAGGAACTGGGACACATCTCACAGAAGGAGGCTGCTTCCTTCCCACAGATGTCACATTGATGCCAAGGACACTCCCATTTCCCTGAAAACACAGATGTGAAACAAATGTTTAGGAAAATAAGCAAGGCACATGAAATGGGCCATGGCTCTGAGCCTGGGTCAAAGGAGTGATTTCAAACTGCCACCTTCTGCAGAGAGCTCATGCCACTCACCCAACACCTCCCCGTGCCCCAAAGTCTCAGATTTTCCTGTACAACACATAAAAATAAAAGCCAAATACCAAGCAGCAATTGAGTATCAACTAAATATAGAGTCAGAGGTAATTTCTTATTACTATGACTATTTCTAGCAAGGGGAAAAAAACCCAAAAGTCCCCTTAGATAGAATGTGAAGCTATTACTTCCACAGTTTTGCAAACTCCATTTGTCTTATATAGCCTTTAAATATTCAACTCTAAGAGGATAATTAAACTCAGCTATTTAAACTTCTATTTGGTTATATTTAGGAACAGGTAGTAGATACACAAATGTGGAAAATGTGACATTTTCCTTTGCCCAATTTGAAGTCTTGAAACCAGCATAAACGTTACCTATACTGTCCACACAGAATCAGTGGAAAAGACCCTTACTTACCATCTATTTGCCCCTATTTTATAACACCTGAGAGTCTTTGCCACGGACAGCGTTTCTGCTTCGGCTCATAGTTTCCAAATAAACTATGCTAGCCCTGACTCCTGGCTCACAGGCAAGATCATTTCTACTGCACCCTGTGCCAGCTATCATCCTGAATTATTGATTTTAAAGTAAATCAACTGACAGGTCATCTTGTGGCCTTGCCCTCATACTACCTCCATTTCTATTATTTCATAACCGTGCTAACTGTACATTGAAGAAAAGCTAGTTCAGGGAAAAACTCCTCTCACTCTCACCCTAACGTTCTTCTCTTTCTGCAGTTCCTGGAAGCAGGCCACTAGTGAAGTATAATTTCATCAGGAGTGGCTCCATACAGTTTTCATACCTCTGTCATCAAAAACAGACCACATATCCAAGTCCCTTTCTAACTCCAAGTAACAACTCAAAAGTTAGTGGCTTCTCCAGCTACAAATTCCTGGACACCTATTTGCCTAAGCAGCTCTCTCACATGTTAGCTGATGCAGAGGAAGTGGGTGAAGGGGGCTAAAGGGGTATCTAGACCACAACTCACTGACCGCAATAACCCCAGACTCCATGCTGTCTTAACCTCTCTTTAGAAAGGAAACATGATTTAGTGGCCTTGAAGTCAGAAAACCTGGCTTTCAATCCAGCTCCTCCATCTATATGCTCTATTGTGACAAGTCATCTCACCAAACTGGACTCTCAGTTTCCTCATCTGCATCATGGGAAGGTGAAAAGGTCTCATCTTTATGGGTTGCTGGGAGGATAAAATAACATAACATAAATGTAAATAAAGTGCTTGACATATAATAAGTAAGCTTCTGTTCCCTTCTCTATAACCTAGAATTCCAAGCCTTTATGGTCATTTATTTCCAGAATGAGAACATGAACCATACCCCCTCAACACTATGCATGAGAAGACCAAGGGGCTGTCACAATTCCAGCAGAGAACAAAAAACGCTCTACATGGATTTTAGCACCCACCTGCTGGTCGCTTGGTTAGATTGAGACAGTCAGCGTGGTAAACTTTTGGGCAGCCTGGCTTCTTACAAGAGACGAGCTGGCCAGCATCTCCACAGCTGAAACACTCATCCTCTCGCTCCTTTGTGATCTCACCCTGGGTCCTGCGCTTCCCCTGTTGTTTCTTCTTGAATTTCTTTGACTTTTCTTCCGTGGCAATGGGTTGATTCTAGAGGTCAGATATTGAGCAGTCAGCATTCTGTTGATACATTAGTTATATGATCTTGACCAGGTTAACTATCCTCTCTGAGCCTCAGTCTCTCCTCTGGGAAGAGACAATCCTCATAGACTGTTGTAAAGATAAGAGAAAATGCAGGAAAGGCACCTGGCACCATCATAGGTACCCAATATATACTTGCATTAATTCTAACTTTTCTATGAACTACTCCTGCCACCTGCATGAAATAAGAGAAATACACTTCATTTTGTTAATATAAAAGGCTGGTGTTAAAGGTTCCCCTTTTGTAAGTTTTATTTTTAGGTTTGGGCGTGTATGTTTGTGTGTGCATACATATTTCTTAATTTATTCAACAAACCTTCACTGAACACTTAGTAAGAGCCACATGCTAGGAAGACACAGAAAACTAATTCATTGTCTTTGCCCTCAACAAGCTATGTGCCTTCATCTATGTCAAATTAGAAACATGTTGACTACTCCCCAAGACAGACCCTGGTGCGGCCAGCACTTCTCCTCTGTGTTCCCTGTAGCACACACTTGCTTACCAAACCCCATGGTTTTTATCACATTATTTATGTTAGACTAGAAACATCCAGGATCGACTAAATTTATTACTGTCCCACAGTGATCTCCCATTTCTAAACTTCTCTCAAAATGCTCTCTCTCAGATTCATGTGTGAAATGTCACATAGATATTAAGGATGCAGAAAGTGATATCCCTAGTGAATATAACACCTTTACACTTGCGTTAAACATAGTTATTTTGATTTATATGGAATAAATCAACTGGACACCTTTAAGAACCAAGACCATTTAACCAACTGACTGAAGGAAAAATCCCAAAATTCAATAAAATATAAAGATAATTATCCTTATTTAATAAAAGAATAATTGGTGGGTGTTCATTATCCTGTGTTTTTGAACCCCTATAGTTACTGGTTTCTATGCTAATTTGCATTTTTCAGTCCTTAATGTTGACTTCCATAATCAAAAAAGCATAATGGGAAATATCCAATTAGAGTAACTGTGTAGTTTACTCTTCATCAAAATTAAAGTTCAATTTTCAGTGTACTATAACTTATGATAGAGAAATCTGGATGTATATTCATCTCTTATGGTCCATCCATTATACAGAAAATAAAACAGTTACTAAAAATGATGGTTAAGAAGACGATGTGACAGCAAGGAAAAAATTTTATAGTATTTAAGAAATGCAGGACACAGACTTGCAAGCAATTCTTTACAGTTACAGAATTGTATGTCAGTTAAATGTACATAAAAACCCAGGAAGACACAGCAATATTTATACTTTGTTAAGATAAGATTAAGGGTCCTATGTTTATCTACAGTGTTATACTACATTTAGAATCTTAAATTCAATACTGGATTCTTTGACAGCTTTAAAAAGAGAGGGGAAGAAGGAGTCACAGACACCAAGAATCTAAGTAGCTTACTAGGAAAATGTAAGTGAGATTAGCTGAGACCAATAAAGACATGGAAAGTAACCTACTTTATGGATTCCTATTTTACAGCATTTTTAGCTAGAAAGGTATCACCAATTAGAAGTTAGACTGCTCAAAACACTTCAACAATACCCAAAGATCAGCTCTTATATAACCAAACTGATCATCAGAATGGTTCTTTAAGTGCCAGACCTCAATGTTATTATTCCAAAGAGACATCTTAAACAGTCAGCCGTGCCACATTACGGAGGGAGGACCACACCATTATTCCCGATGGAAACGTTTGGAAGGTACCTTTGGCCTTACACCCAAAAAGCCACTGCAGTTTGGGGCTCCACATTTGCAAACAGTCTTTCCATTCCCAAGACATTCTAGGTTGTAGTTGAAGGTAAGTTCAGTCCCTGCATAAAACACCATGACAATATTAATATCTATGGCTTTATTACATTATTTCTTTAAAAAAATTTTTTTTAATGTTTGTTTATTTTTGCGAGAGAGGCAGGCAAGCGAGCATAGGGTAGGGGCAGAGAGAGAGGGAGACACAGAATCTGAAGCAGGCTCCAGGCTCTGAGCTGTCAGCACATGGCCTAATGCAGGGCTCAAATGCACAAGGTGGGAGACCATGACTTAGGCTGAAATTGGACACTTAACTGAACCACCCAGGTGCCCCTAATTACATTATTTCTGTATTAATCACAAAGGATACTGACTTCCAAGAGAACAAATTTGGGGGAGGATAGAAAGGGGTTTATTTGGGCTCTGTGCTGACAGCTCAGAGTCTGTGGCCTGCTTCAGATTCTGAGTCTGTCTCTCTCTGCCCCTCCCCTGCTCGTGCTGCCTTTCTCTCTCTCTCAAAAATAAACATACATTAAAAAAAAAAAAAAAAGACTTATTAACTCTAACCCCACTATATTAATAAATTCTAATCCTGTAACATTATTAATCATCAAATACATTTAATAACAGAAAAACAAATGGCTCAGCAAGTTAATATTTAAAATAACCTTTACTACAGATGGTAATTATCCCAAGTTGTTTGTTTTCTAGCCATTCAGATTCTAAATATATTAATTCATTACCAAAAACTAACAAACAACAACTCATTGTGTACAGTGATTTGCTAGGCACTAGGAATGCAAGTATGAAGAAAACCTGTTGGTCTGTGCTAAACCTGGCAGAACTTAAGGGAGAGTCATCTCAATACAGTGTTAATGCCAGAGAACTCTATACCACAGACCTAAGGTCTGGCTTTAAATTCCTGTTACCACAACCTAGGTGGGTGATTTGAGCCCTGAGTACATTTGTTAAATGGAGAAACAATAATCTCACAAGCTTATATAGGATATTTGCAAAATATACATAGTCATAATTTGTAAACTTTAAAAAGAGATATCCAGGGGCAGCTAGGTGTCTCAGTCAGTCAGTTGAGGGACCGACCCTTGATTTTGGCTCAGATCATAATATCACAGTTCTTTGAATTCAAGCCAGAATGGAATGCTCTCTCCCTCGCTCTCTGCCTCTCCTTGGTTCACATGCACTCACTCTCTCAAAAATAAATACATGAACTAAAACAAATATATTAAAAAAAAAAGATATATGGATTTAAGGTACAAATTGTCCCCTTTCTGTCAAAAGTGCATTTTATCAGAACTGAAAGAACAAATAAAACACACCAACATTCAAACTAAAAGCACATTAGGGAAGGTCTAACAAATACAAGAATTTTATCTATGTATACAAAAGAGATTATTTCTGGGTGGGGGTAATGGATCACTATTAACATATAAAAGGATAACCTTTAGGGCAAAATTATCAAATCTTAGGAAGATTTCCCATTGTAAACTGACCTATCTTCCTTCAGTGAGACCAACCAGTATATATAGTTTTTCATCTAATACTGTATTAATATAGATCATTATTTGTTTATTCAACTAAGCAAATTATAAAGCAGCTGCCTTACATTTAGGGGTCAAAATGGTATAAATCACTCATGGTCTGGTGAAGCTCACAATGTAAGGAGCTTACAGGAACTGAAACTGACCCGGGGAAGGCAGGGTTACATCTCCCCTCTCAAAGACCCATGGTGAAGTACTGCACTAAATGACAGATAATTCTATTCATACAATTCCTTTCTTATTACACAATTTAGAAGTATGTAACTGAATTTTCATTAATTTAATGTGCTTATATGCAACTCAACCATATATACAAAGTTTAACATAGGAGGATACTTGATATAACCTGCTGTTTACTCACTATCCACTATATAAACATACTGCTTGGGGGATAAATTAGAAGGACTGGTGTACATAAAGGGAAGACTCATACATTTCTAGAAGAGTCCAATATACAATACAAAGAGAGGTCTGCACTTAGGGGATGGCAAAGGGCTCTGGAGAAAAGATAGGATGTGGTAGACAGAAAGTATAGCAGGTATGTGAAGAGTCCATGAAAGTGAATGATGAGTTAAAGAGAGGAAGCTAAAAAGTTCAGACTCCACCTGCCAAGGCTGCAGCTCCCACAGGCACTCCACATAGTACATTCTGTCTCATTCCCCTTATCCTACCCATGCAGACTGAAAGTCAAGTGAAGACAAGAGCAAGGTCTGTGACTTCCCACACCATGCTACTTGAGCTAAGTGAATATGGGAGAAAAGAGAAGAAAAACTTGTGGTGAGACTGGAAGAGGAATCTATCCCCAGGGACAAAGACTGAAGTTTCAAGTACAAATGTACTGAAAGCAGTCAGGAGAGATGTAAGAACTAGTCATTTGACTGAGTAACATCTGAGTAATTAATACATAGGACAGTCCTCCAGGGTGGTTAGAAGTGCCAGACCTAAGAATTCAAGTAACATAGGTATACCATATACCTCGCTGCATTTTTGCAAGGATTAAATACAATAATATGCTTGGAATAGTGTCTGGCAGTGGTGCCAGGGGCTGAGGGGAGAGAAAATGGGAGTGTATAATGGGTACACAGTTTCACTTGGGGAAGATGAAAAGGTTAGAGATGGATGGAGGTGTTAGTTGCACAACAATGTGAATGGATGTAATGCCACAAAACTGTACACATTAAAAAATGGTTAAATGTTAACTTTTATGTTATGTATATTTTACCATACCACCACCAAGAAAATATTCCAAGACAAGTACCACGTGGTACTTGAAAGTCTTACATATCCTTAAGAGTTTGCAAACCTCATTTTGGATTATGGGACATGGGATTTTTAGATGCTAAAACCTGAAATTCCTTTCTTAGCTCCAGAACCCTTAATTGATTCTTACCTGCTTTAATGTCACTCAGGGCAAAAAGACCAACACGGGTATCTCCATTCACAGACCATTTCTGTGTTTCACAGTTGGGCTGACAGCAATGATTCATGAATCGAGCATAGTTTCCTTTAGGACCAGCATCAATGATCCGGTCCTAGAATTCCAAAAGATGCTGCTCATTAGACAATTCCTACAAATTCCAATAAACTGGAATTCCTATTTGTCACGTCTAACTCTCCCAGGATGGTTCTCAGAGTGTAGTCATTAATCCAGCATTACCACCACATTTGTTACTTGCTAGAAATGCAAATTCATGGGCTGCACTTCAGATATACTAAAGCATAAACTTTTAGGTGGTGCCCAGCAATCTGTGTTATAACAAGCCCACTAGGTGATTCTAATATATGTTGAAGTTTAGGACCACTGCCTTAGAAGCAGCAGCTTGTCCCATCCTCTCAGTTAGGTAGTCCTGAACCCTGGCTACAAATTAGAAATCACCTAAGGAGATTTTAATGTGACCCCATCCCAAACTAAGATGTGAGTATCTAGAGGTAATGGTTATCACAAACCAAAGGGTTCAACTTGATAAATGTTCACAAAGTTTCACGCCAGGAAAGAAATCTAATGTAATAGCCAATGGAAGGGGTGGAGGTAGGTAGAGAGCTAGTAAACCCCAATATTCTAATACAAGGAAGAATCTGATACAAGGAAGAGAAAATAAACACATAAGATGCTAGAATTAGGAATGAGTCCCAAATATAATACTAGGCACAGATGAAATGAAACTCATCAGCAAATTCCTATAATTGGAAAGATGAGTTGTGTTCAGAAGCTAGGTTCTATAATCAATTTTTATGACCTTCTTAATGCACTAAATATCAACAAACCAGTTTCTCAATCTGTAAAGTAAAAAGGTAAAAGAATGATTATTTACTTTGTTGGCTTCAAGTTTTAATCCTACAGGAAAAGCTAAAAGACATAATACATTAAACATTTCAAATTACATTACATTAAACATTTTAAAAAGAAAGCAAACAATAGCTTTGTTGCCTTTGGCCATGGATGCAAGAAAAGAGCAAATTTAGCTACTCCAGAACCTTGACCAAGCAATCTCTATAAATGTAAGGGAAAGACACTGTTTTGGGCAGTGAATTACATGCCTACAAACACTATAGCTGGGACAATATCAGTTTCACAATCTTATAACAATGGAAGTAATACTTTCCATTACTTACTTTGTCTAGGGTGAGCATATAGAAATTAGTGATATCATGTTCTTGGGCATAACGGATTCGAGCTCTGCACTCTTCTTCATCTATTAGCTCACCCACATACTCATTTACAAATTCACCCTAGAACAAGAAATAGCTCTTAATGGCAAAAAGCACAACTGTGTTCCCAAGTATACCTTATTTTTAAAAAAATTAATGAAAATAACAGAATCTCCAAAACAGTTCATGTACATGTAACTAGTCACTTTAGCAAAGGATTATTCAAGAAACACAAATATGCTGTTTCAACTATTTGACAAGGAAAACCACCTTTCCTATCGCTGTTATCAGGAGAAAGACTGGGATACACTGGACAATGAAGATCTATCAAGATGGAAGTAAGTAAACTAGGGCTCCATTATAATGGTGATATGGACAGCTGAACCCCTTAAGTGCCCCAAAACCTGAAAGTCAGTTTCCCTAAACTATGATCCTTTTCCTAAGAATATGCTGTTTACTGCCTTTCCACAATTTATAATACTGTCCTCCTGACACTACAGCCATACTAGCTTTCACTTATGCTGTCCACCTTGCCTACAATGCTTTAACATTCAACTAGTCTAAGCCACAACTACTTGTCTTTCAATTTTCAGCTTAAAATATTCTGAGTCAAAACTACTTTCAGGCCCTTTACTATTTACCACTGCCTCCAGAACCCTTTGTGTTTCCATACTGGGTGATTACTTATCAACATCTGTCCACCTTAGAATGTAAATTTTATGAAAGCATGGGCCATGTCTCTATTATTGATCACTGCATTTGGAGCACAATGCCTAACACACAGTAGATCTATAATAACTACTTATCAAATAACTAAACAGACTAGCTGATATTCACTTCCTTTTCTAGAAACAAACTTCAGAATTCTTCAGAAAAGTATAACTAAAGTTTATTTTATTCAAATGTCAAGATATATTCCACACAAATACTACATAATACTATCTATCAGAAACTTGCAGGTCCTTCTAAGGTTGAGGTTGAAAATGTTAGTGTGCTTTCATTAGAGAAGGCCTAATCCCCTTCTTCATTTTCCATGAACCCAAACCCAGTGAAAACAGATTTTATTTTATTAGGTGATTAACACCTCTGTATCACATGTTCATTATCCCCTTTCTATTAATTACAGGCTCCAGGATCGTCACAAAAGAACAAATAAGGTCCTATTATCTCTATGAATTCCCTTCATTTTTTCATCCTCATACACAGTGAACATAATTAATACTAAGGACTTTAGAGGCAAAGGAGACTTTCCCAAGACTCTAAACTCTAGAACGACACAGCAAGACATAATAGTAAGATTAATCCTTATCTGTTATCTTCCCTCTAATGACCATCTCATATTCATCAAGATTATTCCTATTAAGCAAATGCAAAGAAGGAAAAAAAATCTATAAATTACAAAAAAATTTCTTCACCTTTTTAATATCTGTTTTTGTCCGGAGACCCCAGCCTCTCTGTAATGTGCGAAAAATTTCAACCTCTGGATACTGGCGCTTAGTGAAGCACTGGTTTTGGCAACGTCCTCCGGCAGGACATACTGTGGGGTGGCACTCATAGAGCAGCATGCGGTTGATGCACTCGGAGTCTATCCCACAGGGGTTATCATCAGTAGCTTTACAGTTGCAACGGGGAATTTCAGACAAGTCTGCAGTAAAGATCTGCACCCTGCCAATAGGACGGTTCACCTGGAGTAGAAACACCATAGAACATCAGGCAAGCCAACACAAGACAGTTTAGGATCTATTTAAAGGTAGACTTTTCCTTGAAGCTGAATGCCACATTTTACAGGATTTTGAACTTGGCGGCATCATTCACAATAGCTAAAATATGGCAAGAATCCAGGCCCTCCACAGATGGATAACACATGGATATGCAAAATGCAGTACAAATAATGGAACATTATTCAGCTTAAAAAGAAAGGAAATTTTGACACAGGTTATAACACGGATGAACCTGAAGGACATTATCTTACACAAAATAAGCAAGTAACAAAAAGACAAATACTATATGACTCCAACTTATGTTTGGTACTTCAAGTAGTCAAAATCATAAAGACAAAAAGTAGAATGGTGGTTTTCAAGAAATGACAGGACAGGGGAATGGGAAGCTAATGTTTAATGGGTAGAGTTTCAGTTTTACCAGATGAGAGAAAAGAGTTCTAGAGATATATGTTGGTAATGGCTGCAAACATTATGAATGCATTTAGTTACCACTGAACTGTATGTTTACATAGGATTAGGCTGATAAATTTTATGTTATCTGTATTTTACCACAATAAAAAAATGGAAAAAAGATTTAGGAAAGTTTGACATAAAGCTTTACTTAATATATAAATTATGAATCCAACAAAATTTTTTTAAAAATCACTTTAAAAAATTATAGTTTCAAAGCTGGTATTCCAAAGTGAACTGTAAACTGAGTTTCTGCTATTACCACATGGTGGCACCACTTTAGCTGCTACATAAAAAAAAAGAAAAAAAAACTTAAATGGTAATGGCTTACACGAAAAGGTCTTTGGGTAACTGAGGTTCCCATATGTGAAGATATATTTTAATATTTATTACTACAGTTTGAAATCTAATAGACTACGGCACTGTCACTCATGCATTTATTTAGTAGTAGTAGTAGTAGTAGTAGTAGTAGTAGTAGTAGTGAAAAACAGTGCAGTGAAAATCTGTTGCGGTCAAACACATACCTGTTGTAACACTGAAGCCATTAGGTTTTCAGATGCTAGTAGCAAAAATCTGGGACAGACATTCCATAATACAGATAGATGGATTTGTGCGCTATGAGAATGAGACTCCCTTACCTGATATCATTTCATGGGGAACACTCAAACTGTGAGTCTTTAAAAACCCACCCCATAGGGGAGCCTGGGTGGTTCAGTCAGTTAAGCGTCTGGCTTCGGCTCAGGTCATGATCTCACGGTTTGTGGGTTCGTGCCCCGCATGAGGCTCTGTGCTGACAGCTAGCTCAGAGCTCGGAGTCTGCTTAAGATTCTATATCTCCCTCTCTCTCTCTGACCCTCACCTGCTCATGCTGTCTCTCTCTCTCTCCCCCAGAAATAAATAAAACATCTTAAAAAAAAAAACAAAAAAACAAAACCCTCATCCCATACATAAAAATTGGCTGTTCAGGAATTTTTGATTTTGATAAATCACTTAAGATTGTTGTGAGAATAAGAAATACATGTAAAAGTTCTAGTACAGAGGTTACCACAGCCTCTGAAAACATGGTAGATATTAAAATTCAGTTATCTTTCTTTTAATATTTATCTATTTATTTATTGAAAGAGAGAGATGGGGGGGGAGAGAGAGAGAGAGAGAGAGAGAATATGAATCTTAAGCAGGCTCCATGCTCAGTGTGGAGCCCAATACAAAACTTGATCCCATGACCTGGGATCATGCATGACCTGAGCTGAAATCAAGAGTCAGATGCTTAGCCAACTGAACCATCTATGCGCCCCTAAATATCCCTTTTAAGTATCTGCCATATCAAATATTCTAGATTACCTTATCTATTCAATATAAAATCACTACAATTAACAGTTATTTCCACCTTGTAAATTCCCAAAAGGTTTCATTTCTAACATTTTAGTTTTTGCTTATTGTTTAACAATATCATAAAATCTTCAATCTCTTTGCAGAAATACACTGTCCTCAAACCAGTTCTTGATAACACCTTACAAGGATGGACTTCCAGATCTCTTCCCAGATTCTTCAAAATACTGGTAAAAATTGTAAACTTGTTAATGGAGGAATACTGTTACCACATGCAGTTACACTGCTGAAGGAATACTGTATACCACTGAAGTCACAAAACTGAGGAAAGTAAATTCTAAGAGTATAGAAGGTAAGGGCTAAGCTTAATTACCTCAGACTGCAGGTCCTACAAATAGGCCATTTGAACATGCACCTCTGTCTCAAGAGGAGTATCCTTATCTGACCTTCCTCCCACAAAAGTTTCATCCTACGCCTTTTCTTCAATAAAGATATGTTTCAATCATTTTTTCTTAACATGTGATCTAATATATTACTAATCCCAAATTAGTTTCTTGCCTAACATAACATAAAGCAAAACAAAAAACACATGGTTTAGTAGGAATAATAGAGACATGTAATTACAGTTTAACTTAGCTCACTCTAGATCAGAGATTGACAAACTTTTCCTGTAAATGGCTAGACAGTAAATATTTCAGTGTCTGAAGGCTACAGATTTCTGATTCATGCAGCTTAATTCTGTCATTATAGCACAAAAGTAGCATAAGATAATTTCTAAAGAGGCATAGATGAGTGTCAATAAAATTTCATTTATAGACACTGATTATCTGTATTTCATATCATCTTTATGTTTTGCTTTTCATTTTTATATTTTTCCCAACCAGAGTAGGCCAGATTTGGTCCATGGACCATTGGTTTGCCAATGGTTTGCCATGTGGGCCATGGACCATAGTTTGCCAACACTGATCTAAGTTTTTCCTGGAAATATATTTGTTTATAAAAAGGAGGGAAGGCTGCATGAAGGAAAGAAGCTGGCTTCTAATTCTGTGATCTAGATCACTCACAGGAAGTTGCTCTCTCAATAGCTCAATACGGTTGATGTGCTACTCTGAACCACCTCTCTTCTTGTTGTCTGACTGTGGGAAACCAGATTACTTTCGCCGTTTTGAGGCTTAACTACACTTAGATCTTCATGCATTATATCTCCATGCACAATAACTCCTCAACTCATCATTACTCATAAGCGATTCCCAACTATGCCAATAAAGATTTAACTGGCAAGAAACAGAAAATGATGAAATCACAAAAGTTTATACATGCAACAGTTAAACAGTCACATTTTAGTTTCTGTATGGCATCACCCAAAGTACTATATTATCTTTCTAGAAAGTATAAAAGAGTAGAGATAACATCTTTGTAATCTGATTTTAGTAGGGTTGCTTTAGTGAGCAAATAAAAATCCGAGATACCTGATTAAATCTGAATTTTAGATTGAAAAAATAAAATAGACTTCTAGTTTAGGTATGTCCCATGGAGTATTTGGGATATATCTGACCACATTAGCCTATATGAAATTGATCTCTAAGTGAAACCTCAGACTAGAAAACTTCAGAAGCTCAAATATCAATGGACATACTAATAATGAATTTCTATTGCCAAAAAAAGAAGTATGTTGTTCGGGAATGACATCACCATAAATACTGTACAATAAGACAATAAGAACTTGGGCAGTCTCATTTTGTTAACAGAGTTAATTGTATTCTTTCATGTCTTCTGATGTTTGAACACAACTAACTCCTTAAAAAGTGTTTTTGGTTTTTTTTAAACATTTATTCATTTTTGAGAGACAGAGTGTGAACAAGGGAGGAGCAGAGAGAGAGGGAGACACAGAATCCAAAGCAGGCTCCAGGCTTCAAGCTGTTAGAACAGAGCCTGACGCAGAGCTTGAACTCATAAACCATAAGATCATGACCTAAGCTGAAGTGAGATGCTTAACCAACTGGGCCGCCCAGGCGCCCCATAAAAAGATGTTTTGTAAAGAGGTTATAAGAGTGCCTGGCTAGCTCAGTTGAAATCTGTGACTCTTAACCTCAGGGCTGTGAGTTCAAGCTCCATGTTGGGTTTAGAGATTACTTACTTAAATAAATAAAACTTAAAAAAAAAAAAGAAAGAACCAATCGGGAGAAGAAGGGGGGAAATGGTGGGGGAAAGGGAGAGAGGCAAACCATGAGAGACTCTTGAATGCTGACAAAAACTGAGGACTGAGGGGGGGGGGGGGGGGGGGATGGGCATGGAGGAGGGCACTTGTGGGGATGAGCACTGGGTGTTATGTGGAAACTAATTTGACAATAAACTATTTGTAAAAAAAAAAAAAAAAGATGCCCAGAAAATAAACATATTTGTTAATTTACTCTAAAAAAAAAAAAAAAAAAAAAAAGTTTTAGTAAATACTGAAATGTCTACTAAATTTATTCTACATTATTCCTGTATTTTTAAATTCTGTAAATTATTCATAAAAATTACTTAAAACATAAATGAAATACAAAGGGTCCAGCAGACTCTTACTGTACTAGGTATATTCAGGGTTAGGTACAGTTATACATTAACTTTCCTGACCTTGGGAAACCTAGTCATAGTGGTTACCTATAATATCCTTAGTATCACCCATTACCAAGAAGACTTACCATGTGTATTATTCACACTATCTCGGGGCTATGTATCACTTTTTATCATGGTTCTTGAACCTCCTTCAAACTTCAAGGTGTTGACTGTGCACATAATCTAATCCAGTCTACCTCTATAAGAAGACTTTCCAAGGCAACAGAAAAAATTATCAAAACGATTTTACATAAAAGTGTAGACAAGGTGCTAGGAACGCTGCTCTGAACTTTCTCTTATCTTCTTTCAAGTTCGTACCTCTACCTAAAAGCAACTGTATTTGGGCGTCCAAATCTCATCATGAACAGAGGAGGAAAAGAGCGATCTATATAGGGTCTCTCCTAGAGACAGAGGTTCCTGAAGTCTTCTCTCACCTTTATATGCTTGTAAGGTGGTGGCTTCTTGTCATTCTTTCGGTCCTCCTGCAGCTGTCTTAGCTCTTTTTGTGCCTTTAACTCCTCAAACCTCGCTGCAGCTTCTTGAAGAGCTAAGGAAACACACAGCACAAATCACTTAATCTTGGGTGGACTTGTTCATTTTACCCTTCCCCCCCCCCTTAAAGCTGGAGAAAATCCATGTTTTAGACAAAACATAACCAGCATATATAAAACTAAGAAGTATATATGACTGCTATTTTCAAGTTAATTTATAGTCCACAGGATATTAAGATTTAGCATTTAAGACAAAACATAATCCATTATTAAATGGCACAATACAGGCTATCACCTTTATAGGAAAATTTGAAAGAAAAACAAATCCAGCTAAATGATTTGAAAAAATTCACAAAAAACATCTCCTAACAAAGACACTGCATCTGCTCAGCAAAGTCACTGTCCTTCATTAAGCCAAATTCTTGCCTCAGTTCTGAACCACTCTTGCCTCCAAAAGCATTCTGTTTCCTTAGTGCTGAATAACATGTTATATTCCTTTAGAAGAAATTCAAAGTTAAATTTTCCTCTCCTTCTTACCCATTTTTCTACAGTACCTGTCCTATTCCTCTCCTAAGATTCATTCTGTAAATACCAACTACTAGCTATAAAGATACAAAGACAGATCTTCATAGCTGATTTGTATTCAAGCACTGTACTTTCTATGCTTAAAAGATTGTAATATCTTAGAAGCCCAACAAAATCTTAAGATTTTCTTTCTTTTTCCACTTAAAACAAATTTTTAATTCATTCTTTTCCTTTTTTAAAATTCATTATTCTTGAACCAGGTTAAAAATTCTGAAAAGAATTCCAATTCCTCCCCCCCTTTCCTCTCTGCAGCTTTCCCCATATTCTGTTAGTTATTTACAGAAAATGTCCCCCCCCCTTTTTTTTAATGTTTTTATTTATTTCTAGGAGAGAGAGAGAGAGACAGCATGAGCAGGGGAGGGTCAGAGAGAGAGGTAGTCACAGACTGAAACAGGCTCCAGGCTCTGAGCTGGCAGTCAGCAGCACAGAGCCCGATGCGGGGCCCAAACCCATGAACCGCGAGATCATGACCTAAGCGAAAGTCGGACACTTAATCGACTAAGCCACCCAGGCGCCCTAGAAAATGTCCCCTTTAATACATCCCTTTTTCTCCATTTCCCTGTCACCATCTAACAACTTGTGTTGCCTTGCATCCTCTAACTTACTGTTATAATCACTCCTTTCTTCATGCTATTATTCAGCATGTCCTGCCTAGTCTGTCTACCTAATCTCTATCCAAGTACTCATCATCCTCTCCATCCCAGGGACACTTCAGTCTTGTCATCTCTGTCCTGAAGTACTGAAAAAGCCATCTCACTGACATTCCTGGCTGCAGCCTCTCACCTTCTATGGACCCCAAACTCTTCTTGGGACAAAAATTTGTAAAAACACAGCTCTGACCATGTAACTTAGCTACCTTTTCTGGCGAATAGCCCTGTGTTCCCCAAACCCATTTTCAACTATAGTGCACAGAGGTCACTAGCTCAGTGTGTTAAGATTTAACGTATGCTTTCCCATATGCTGTCTTCTTGTTAACATTTTCGTAAGTTAATTTTTTTTAAGTTTAAATGTTTATTTTTGAGACAGAGTAAGAGGGGGAGGGGCAGAGAGAGATGGAGACAGAGAATCTCAAGCAGGCTCTGTGCTGTCAGCACTAGTACCTTGGGTAAGTAATTTTAACTTTTATGATCCTTAGTTTCCTCATCTGTAAGGTAAGGAAAAGGACATCTAACTTACAGGGGGTCTCACAAGGACTTAAAGCAGAAAAAAACCTGAACAGGGCCTGGTAAACAATAAATGAGAACTAAGATTATGATTCACTCTTCAAAGTCACTTGGAAAAAACCACCCATGACTTCTAAACTTTGATCCCCAGCACAGTTATGCTTCCTCTTAGTCTGTTCCCATAGTGTACCATGGACATTTCTGCCACAATGCTCAAAGAATGGCATTTTGACTATTTGTATCTCTAATTTGCCCATAAAAACATGTATTCCTTGAAGGCAGAGGCACCCAGTCAGCCCAGGATCGAGGCATAGAAAGAGCAGAATCCTAGAGCTTTAACAGGCTCAGACTTATGGTATTCCCTACAACTCCACCTTCTCCCAGGCCTCTGTGGCAGTCAGCTCCATGCAGGCAAAGATGTTGCTAAACTGGTCCCTGATGATTCTAAGATTACAACACTCAGGAGCCAAGCTCCTATAGTATTAATAATAATAATACATCTCTGCACAGAAACAACATGGTCAGCAGATAAGGGAGGACCCACCGAAATGACATGAGGCAAATGGAACCTTTGTGAAACTTGTTCCCTATGGACATCATTCTCATTCCTCATCCAGGAAGTTTTACCTGCTTACAATCTTCTTAGGAGGAATCTTCACCGAATCAAAAAGTTTCACTATTTTTTTTAATGTTTATCTTTTTAAATATGTTTATTTATTTATTTGGGAGGGAGGAGAGAGAGCGCAAGCATGCGCACACATGCAAGCTGGGAAGAGGCAGAGAGAGGGAGACAGAAAACCCAAGAAGTCTTCCACACTGTCAGCACAGAACTGGACACAGAGCTCAAATGCAACAACTCTGAGATCATGACCTAAGGTGAAACCAACAGTCGGACACTTAACAGAGTGAGCTACCCAGGTAACCCTAAAATGTTTATTTTTGAGGGAGCCCAAATTGGGGAGGGGCAGAGATGGGGGGGGACAAACGCTTCGAAGTGTGTTATGTGCTGACAGCAGCGAGCCCAATGTGAGGCTTGAATTCATGAACTGCGAGATCATGACCTGAGCCAAAACCGGAGGTTCAACCAACTGAGCCACCCAGGTGTCCTCAAAGTTTCACCTGTTTAGAATCTCTACCTCACCATGCAAATAAAATCTTACATACTTCAATGTCCAAGTATGTTAAGAAACAAGAGATATTTATATTGCCTTTCAAAGGACAGCTAAAAAAAGAAGGTAATTACTGTTGATGGGATAACACCCAACTATGTGCCCTGTTGATGTTTTTATTATCTCACTGAATTCTCAAAGCAACTTTTACTCATTATGTAGTAAGAGAAAACTGAGGCTCATGGTTGACTCAACGATCCCCCCCCCCCCCCGAGCTCCAAATGTCCCCTTTCCTTCACTGCCATGCCAGCTTAAAAAAAGTATCTCTTTTGATTCAGAACATTAATGCTTTCATTTTCACTATTTTACTTTGCTTTATAATTTCTGGTGAATTTTATTTCTTCACAACAAATTAAAAAACAAAACAAAACACCTCCTTGGAACAAACAACTCTACTAGGAGTCTGACTCCTGTCTAGCAAACTACACTGTTTATGCTATAAAATAGTTCCAAAGTTCCAGTAGTTGATAAGATGCTGAGGAAACAGAACTGATATAAAAAAACACTTCCCTCAAGGGGCACCTGGATGTCTCAGTTGGTTAAAGTGTCTCACTCTTGATTTCAACTCAAGTCATGATCTCAAGGTTCATGGGACAGAGCTCCATACTGGGCTCTGGGCTGATAGCACAGCGCCTGCTTGGAATTCTCTCTGCCTCTCCCCCGCTGAGGCTTGCTTTCTCTCTTTCTGTCTAAAAAGTAAATAAATAAACTTAAAACTTCCTCAAGGAAATTCCATTTACCTAAATTAGGCTAAAAATATTGAGCTATGTGGATCAACTACCCAGTAAAATTCTGTGGCTATAGCCACATAATGCCCCAGATATTGGAATACAGCAGCTAATGGAATATATGTAAATTCTAACACATAGCAGAACAAATACTTGGACAACAGAAGTCTGTGCTGGTCTGAGAAACAAACGGGACAAAGTTACCTTTTTTATATGTCCCATCCACTCCTTTGCCCATCTTATCCTTGCTGCTCACATCACCCTCCATATAGGGAAAGACTCGGGCCTGGTGTGTCCACAGATAGTCATTAGACCCAAAGAATAACACAGGGAACTCGCCAACGTCATGTCTCATCTTATCAATATTGGAAGGTACAGCTCGAGGATGGCAGATCTCAGCTGGCCACCACCTGGGAAAGGTGAAAACAATCAAGGAAACCTTTAGAAGGCTGCAAAGCAATTAGTAACAACCTACTTTTTAGGACAGGAGTAAGGAATAACAAGGTCTATCCACATTAACATCCAACTTAGCACATTTTTACAATCTAACTAGAGAACAAACAAGAAGTATGTGCTGAAAACACCCACCTTCACAGATGTACTCACATATAAAGTTAGACTCAGTTATTCGACTTAAAGGAATCTATACTAGAAAATAATAATTTAACAAATAATTATCTCACAGGTATGAACAAAGCTCTTGACTATAATGTTAACTGAAGTATTATCTTTAAGAATGAAAACCTGGACAATAATCAAAATTCTCAACAGTAAGGGAATGAATGATAAAGTAGCTATGGTACATGATACAATGATATACAATTTGGCCTTTAAAAAATTGTTAGAGGGAGCCTGGATGGCTCAGTTGGTTAAGCTTCTGACTTCAGCTCAAGTCATGATCTCACAGTTCATGGGTTTAAGCCCCCCACTGGGATCTGCCTGGAGCCTGTTTCAGATTCTGTGTCTCCCTCTCTCTCTCTGACCCTTCCCTGCTTGCGCTCTCTCTCTCGCTCAGAAATAAAAAACATTAAAAAAAATAAAAATAAAAAATTGTTAGGCATATAGAAAAATGATACCAAGAAATGCCCTCCAAAGTAAAATAAAATAAAAAGTATGTAAATTAATGCCTTACATGTCCACTTTAGGAAGACATTTGGCATTAGCTATTTAAGGTGGAAACCCCTATCCTAGAAAAACTCCTGTGCATGTACACTAAGGAACACTGACAAACTGCTCCAAACAGGAAAATGGATAAATTAACTTCACTATATCATAAGTCTGTATGAAAAAGAAATGCAGAACAGCTAAGTATGAAGTAGAGCATGGCACTAATCACTATAAATCTCAAGACTGTAATAGCGAATGAAAAAAACAAGTAGCAGGAAATATAGCATCAATTCCTTTATATAAAAGGTCTAAACATGCAAAACAAAACATTATATATGTAGTAAACTTACAGCAAGGCAAGGGAATAAAAAACACAAAATGTTGTACAGAGGCTACCTGCTAGGGATGGGGTAACAATATATTCAGAAAGGGTCATGGAGGGAGCCTCAGTATGCTATTTCTTTAAGGGGGTGGGGGGGACATACATAGGTATATACCTATGTATGTATCAGAAAAGTAAATCTCTGATTCTTTTAAATCATGCATGTTATGATTCTTTTGTACATTCCATGATCAATAAAAATAATTTAAAAAAAGACACAAAACTGGGTGTAAACTCTAAGGCTAATTAATTATCTTGATGGAACATGCCCTGGTATGTCTTCAAGTAATTATGCTCAAATATTAGCAACTTATCTTCCTTGTTATGGGTTTTTCATTAATGAATTTTCTATAGGCAATATGTATTATTCCTATAACCACAAAACATAACATTAGATTTTTTATAATAAAAAAATTAATGGGGGGGTGCACCTTGCTTAATCAGAAAAATAAAAATTTTAAAAAAGTGCTAAACATTTATCTAAGATCCCAAGAAACAGAGGATGGTAAATTAAAGAAATGAGCGTCAGTCTCCTTCATGCTCACTCACCTGTATCGTCCAACTTTTACCCAGACAATTTCTCTGTAATGTGGCTTTTTGCCTGCCTTACAATCATTGCAATACCAGTTTCCTTCAGGAATATCAATGTTCAGGCATTCACGATGAAAAGCAGCAGGACAAGAATCACAGCACAGAAGGCTGCCTCCTGTGGGAATCAAAAAATCTGGCACTCAGAATCATAAGCCTGCATATCATGACCCAGCTGAATCAGCTTTTGCTCCTAACCAATTATCTCGCAGCTAAGGGCTTAGTAATTTAATTAGTTATTTAGAAAGGCTTTTCTGCAAGAGCATTTATTCCCTCTCTCATATTCCTGTGAACCACAACCTTGGGGGTTTATTAAATATACAATGACCAGAGTATGAAGAGCATAAATTTTAACTGATGTTAAAATTTGAGCTCCAAGATCTATGACCTTAGGGAATTCATTTTCTTGCTAAGATATAATTTCCTCAATCACATCTATATGAAGACTAAATAAGTGAATAAATGGCCCCAACAGTGTCTGACACATACATAGTCTCCATATGGTCAGTTCCTTCCCTCTTTTTAAATTACTAACTCTTTAATCATTTTTATGTTTGGTACTCTGACGCCTATGGGCTCTTTTCAGAATAACATTTACAAATGCATAAACCTAACACGTAGATTGGAAGGACACTGTTACATTAAGATATAATTATCAAAATGCTAGAACAAGAAATGATGTATATATCTTTGTAATGCAAAAAATAGTAAAATCTAGCAGTAGCAATGATTCCAAAATATTTTAAGATATGTACAACAAATGAAATATCTATAATTTTCACTATTGACAAAAGTCACAGGTACTAATGTAGTCTGTTGCCTACACTTCAGTTAAATATATGTTCTCTCTACTCCACTGAGCTTTTGAGACACCAGGATAATTACGTATATTGCAATGACAAGGAATTTTCACTTCCTAAAGATTTTCACTTAAAGTAATTCAATTTATATGTCTGACACTGAAATCCCATGGTTACAGATTGTAAAGAATTTCAGGTGAAGAGGAATCATACTTAGGGAATATAGTAAGTACCCTGTTATCTTGGGCCACAAGTGAGCATGCTTCAAACACACTGAACTCAAACATACAACTAACTCCAAGTCTCGTCCTGAAAAGTTAGTGGGGATAAAAAGCCTTAGCAAAGTGTATGTTCGTGTCTAGTAGGTCTCAGGCTTTCTGGCTTCATGACAACTTTATACTCTTGGAGATTTCCAAATAAATTTTGCTTATGTATGCTAAAAATATAGATATTTACTAAGCAGAAATCAAAATTAAGAAAATTTTAAAATATTTATTAATTCATTTAAAAGTATCAAATTCTGGGGGCGCCTGGGTGGCTTAGTCGGTTAAGCGTCCGACTTTCGCTTAGGTCATGATCTTGCGGTTCGTGGGTTCGAGCCCGGCGTCGGGCTCTGTGCTGACTGCCAGCTCAGAGACTGGAGCCTGTTTCAGTCTGTGACTACCTCTCTCTCTGACCCTCCCCTGCTCACGCTGTCTCTCTCTCTTTCTCCTAGAAATAAATAAAACATTAAAAAAAAAAATCTTTAAAAAAAAAAGTATCAAATTCTGTTAAGATAAATTAGGGTTTTTTTGTAAAAAAAAAAAAATTTCCAAAATAAATGTTAATGGGGCTTAGTGTTTCACATTTTTGCAAATATTTTAAACTGAATTTGTTGCAATATGCTGTTCGATTGAGGCACATGAAGAAATTCTGTTCTTTCACAGATACTTACAAAAAAGGACTACTTTAGTAACTTGTTCAATAACTATACAAATTCCTTCCTTGATACTATCTATACACTAAAACTCCACAGGGTAGACTTTAGTTGCAGTGTCAAATCTGAAATAAGCTTTTAGAACTACTACATTAAAATTCATTGATCTGTCTTGCACTTTGAATGGATCTTTTATATATGCATGGTTTTTAACTTTGTACATTGGTCATATGGAAAATAGTGGTTTACTGAATTGAATGGATCTTCCAAATGTTCATCTATTTCATTATATATTATTATTATAACAGTTATTAGTATCATGAGGATTTCAGAATAATACTAAAAAGCTGTTAAGCCGCAGGGTGATAGTTAACCAGTTTTCCAAACTCTAATTTTCACCTAAGAGCTCAAGTTTTATCACTGGCAATGATTTCTGTGTGTTTTCCTTGAATTGACAAGCTCATTTTATCCATTTTCAAAAAAATGTCTGACAAATATCCAAGTATGAAGAGCCATAGTTTGTCACAGTAGTTCGTTCTTACAACTAAAATTGGTGTTCCATGAACAAGGCAACTAGTTCAGACTGCAACTCAACTGCATGAGTGCTTTAACTTAAGATAACCATCAGTATACAACAGAACCACTTCACTTTATATGTACTTCCCATTTTATAATACAGAATATTAATGTTCATTTGAGGGTTGATATTTAATAAAATTAATGAATATTATACAAAGATAGTCTTAAGTGAAACTTTTTTTTTTAACTGAGAGAGTATGTGGTGACACAGAACACAAGGGACTGCTTCTAGTTGTATGGTTTAGAGTCACTGCCTTGATTAGTATTAGGTGTAGGTGCCAGCAGTTTTACCCACTACGGTTTTGAACCATCAGTGTAAATGTCAACAAGTTATAAAAGGTGAGTAATATCTTATTATGATTATGAAAAGGGTTATGACTTCATGGAGTCCCTGAAAGGGCCTCATGGGTAACCCTTCTGAGGATCAAAGGACAGAACGATCACAGATTACACTCTGTGAGCGTTACTGCTGCAGCTACTAAGTTTTCTTGGAAACTCAGTTACCATTATGTGTGTCCATTATTGGATTCAGTAGCTTTTCAGTTATGATACTCCATGTTAGGAATGCTATCACATGGGCACTCTCACTCGTAAACCATCTTATTCATTTCATCCCACTCTGGAGTTAGAAATGGTCTAATTCTGAAACTGTTCCATGGTCTCATCTCCAAGAAATGTGGAAAACTTCTGGAGCCTACACTTAAGCCTCCCAGACACCTGTTTTTATTCTAAGAGTAGAATTGCAGAATGTTATATTTAAAGTTTATTTATTTATTTTGAGACAGAGGAAGTGAGTGCGTGTACAAGTGAGAGAGGGGCAGAGACAGACAGAGAAAGACAGACAGACAGAGAATCCCAAGTAAGCTCCACACTGTCCGTGCAGAGCCCGATGCGGGGCTAAATCCCATGAACTATGAGATTGTGACGTGAGCCGAAATCAAGAGTCAGATGGTTAACTAACTGAACCACCTGGGTGCCCTGAGAATGTTATATTTAAAAGCTATTAAATAGCTTTTGTCCAAAACTCTTGTCTTTAACTTTCTTCTAAATGAAAGAAGGGTGGTATGATAAACAGAGCAGTTTTCACAAGACAGTGTTAATAAGGAGCAGGTATTGGAAGAAAAGAATGTCCTCTTTGTGAATTAAAACACCTCTATACCAAAGGCTTCCCTCTTTATCCATAACAGCACATAACATTCTTTTTATTTATTCTATATTAGCAGCATAGTTTGAGGATACAATCCATGTACTGTAAGCATATCTTTTCCTTAAATTTTCATGTTAGATAAATCATCTAAGAGCATAAAAAAGGTCCAAATTGACCATTTTCAATCACAAAAAGCAGTCAAAAACCTTCTTTCATGGCTTTAGCACTATTTATTATATCCAAATTTCTCAAGAAGGATGTTCATTCAATTAGACACATTGACTTTTTAAATGAGTCCCTCAGAATGTTCATAACCAGCCAAATTTTCATGAAATTGCAGAGCCAAAATGTATTAAAAACCAGACAAGTGAGATCAGTTGTTTAGTTGTTACTAATCAACAAAATTCAGTCTATTTGAAAAGTAAGGAAGAAAATACATAAGAGAACTGGTATCACCCTCAACATCAGAATAAATAGTGAAGAAATGTCCACAGTAGTATTAGAAAAAGAACATGTATCCTAATTGTTTTATAGTAACCCAACACATGTTTCCAGTATAGAGGCAAATGATGAATAGCCTCAAGTAGAGAATTAAGCACCTCTGGGTGCTTCCTAGAAGTTCAGTCAACCAAGAGAAAAATTAAAATAAGGAAATCAGAATTATAAGCACCATAGTAAACTGACTAGTGATGATCACTAAATCATCCACTTACAATAACTAGCAGAAATCAGGCTGTGAGGAATGAAAACAGCTTAACATTGACTCTCTTAAAGAAAGAAGTATGTTTTAAGTTGATGGAAAAAAGATATAAAGATAAAAAATTTATTTTTCCTCCTCTTCAGAAGAACTTTTAGGAATATAAAAGTTAGATACTTAACAGATGTTCATAAATTTCTTCACTTTCCCTTTATATTCATGAATAAATGACTTAACAAAAAAGAAACTCAATTATACAATATAATACCATCTTCTAGAACTATTCCTATACATGCCTGCAATCTGCTTATGTGCACAAATGTCTTAAGTAGTATCACTTAAAATTAAGCAATGGTTTTTCTTCTGATGGTGGAAGTTGGGATGACTTGGGATTTATTATTTATTAATTATTATTCTTTACTTCCAGTTTATTTGACATATAACATTGCATAAGGTTAAAGTATACAACATAATGACTAGATGTATATACTGTGAAATGATTGCCCAAATAAGATTAGGCAACAGATCAAACACCTCACATAGTTATAACTTTTTCTTTTTGGTGGTAGTAAGAGCTTTTAAGACCTACTCTTTTTAACAAGTTGCAGATATATAATACAGTATTGCTCACTATAGTTACCATGGTGTATATTAAGTCCTTTAAACTTAAAAATCTTCTAATTGGAAATTTGTACTGTTTGATCACATTCCCCCATTTTCCAAAGGTGAGTGTATTTCCTTTCCCTTGTCTTTTTCTTTGTTGCATTTATCATTTTAATAAAAATAAGGTCATTATTCAAAGTAACAAAATAAAACCTCTCCCTTATCAGGGAAAAAACCAAGTTTAAAGTTCTGCTATGTTATCATAAATTCATGACATTACATCCCAATATTTTCTCTATTAGCAATGTGAAGAATATGATTTTTGTTGCACTTAAAATACTGTATTAATTCTAAACTATTTATATATTAAGCAGTCATGTCTTACCTTCTGAGCATACAAAACACCAGCTCACGTTAACATGCTCATGATTTCGGCAGCCCCTCCGAGGGGTAAAGTGATTAGGGCAGATGATACTATTAGATGCAAGGATCTTGGACCCAGCAGCCAGGCAAAAGTCATTGGCATGGTATGCCACAGGGCAACGGACACAGCGCATCAGACGACCTAAAATTACAGGAAGCAGGAAAACCAGAGTAGCAGAAGAAAAACAAAGAGATTAAATATAAAAACAACATGAGTTACTGAAATCTCTTTGTCAGCACTCAGAAAATAACACAAACAGAAGGAAGCAATACTAGGACAAGGGATCATGAAACACATAATTCACTATGAAAAGCTCAGATGGGAGCTATGTGATAAGATCTCATGACTGTTAAGTGAGCCTGCCTCACCAAGAGAAACCCTATTCAATCCACTGCCTGGACTCCTATGAAACCTGGAATCAGCCTCAAACTAAATAGGAAGGATATACAGTAGATGGGAGGGAGAAAGAGTAATAATATTGCTTGGTACCATGTGATTCTTAAAGCCTGAACTTTAAGGTGAATGAACCCATTCCAGATAAAATATGTCCTCTAACATACATCACCAACCAGAACCCATTACCAAATCACCTAATTGTATCTACAATAGCAACTGAAAATGGGAAGGTAAGCTGATTAAACTGTAATTTTGATCAAGCAAGTTAAATTACTGTACTTAAGATTGATGAGAACAATAGGCCCAGGGAATTATATTAAAAAAGGTACTGCCAGTCTAAGTAATTAAAAGCAAAGCCAAAAAAAAGTACTGCTACATTTTTCCTGCTCAATCCCCTATGGAGAAGGGAGGGCTCCTTGGGTACACAAGCATATAATAGTAGAGACACAATATTTGACATAAGAAAATTACAAAGAGACCCTATTATTATTGAAGAGAAATAAATGATTATTTTCCCAATAGAATAGACCTAAAAACTTGAGTTTACCTGTATCTACAGGCAGTTTTGGAAACCTTGGCTCTCAGTCTAACTATAATGGAGGAAAGAGATTTCAGGACAGATGCCTCCATTTAAAAAATATAAAACAAACCAATACAAAACAAAAACCTCAGTTCTACCCTAAATTCAGGCCTGAATGATATCACATCTGACAACCATAGATATAAAGAGTCTATAGGAAAAGAATATACTTTGGTCTAATGGAGTAGGGGGAGAAGGCATGCAGCACAACATTTTCTCCAAACTAAATATCACATGAAATTCAAGTATTTCAAACCACCACAGAACACTAGAGCTCCACAGAATACAATGTGGGAAGTGCTGGAATAGTCCATTATTCTCTCTCACACATAAAATGCTGATACTCTGACAAAAGCTAAAGAGGCCATGAAGAGACATGCCAGATAGCACCTGGAAATACACATTGCCAATGAAAGCAAGGTTCTACAACTAGACTGATCCATATGAGAAACCCATACCTTTAGATGCAGAAACGCTGGCTGGATTAGCAGCATGGCAGGTTATACAGATGTGGAGGGAGCACCGGAAGCCCTTGTTCTGCATAACAGTGGGTGGATATTTCTGGACACATTCTTCATGGTAAAACTTTCCACACAAGGGCAAAAGGCACCTTTTAACATCTTCCCCACTCTGCTTACAAACAAAACAGGTATGGATTCCTGGGAAACAGAAAAAAAGTAATAAATTACTACCAACTCTAGAGTTGGTAGCATTGGATGAAAGTTTCCAAGTACATAATTCTGTACTAAGTTCCAGTATGAGGTTTGAGTATATATGTGTGTGTGTGTGTGCGTGCGCGTGCGTGCGTACGCACACGTGGGGGGATGGGGGAGGTTCCCCTACCACCAAGCAATTCTCCAATACCAGCTGGGTGTCTTAATTCAATTCAATTTAATTCTGAGACTATATACTTGAATATAACATCATTCCCACAGGTTAAGGACTCAGTTCTACAAGACTGCCCCCGCCCTCAACTTCAGATGCCCGTCTCAAGCCCAGGTTGTCACCTATACTTCTGACTGGCTCGACAGCAGAGGTTCTCATGACCCTGTCTTCCTCAGGTTTGATTAATCTGCTAAAATGGCTCACAGAACTCAGAGAAACATTTTTATTTACTGGATCACCAGTTTATTATGAAAGGATATAACTCATGAACAGCTAGATGGAAGATATGAATAAGGCAAGATATGAGGAAAGGGTGTGGAGGTTTCATTCCCTTTCCAAGAGGCAACACTTTCTTCTGAATCTCCACATGCTCACCAATCATTCAGAAGCTCTCTGAAATCCACCCTTTTAGGTTTTGATGGAGATTTCATTGCATAGGCATAGCTCACTAAACCACTGGTCAGTGTGGACTGATTCAACCTCCAGCCCTCTTTCCTTACAAGACATTAGGGGGGTAGGACTGAAAAGTTCTAGCCCTCTAATCAGGGTGGATTCTCCTGGCAATCAAGCCCCCATCCTTAGGTGTGTCTTTCATTAACATAATAAAATACACACAAAGGACATCTTTATCTCTCTCACCCCTTAGGAGAGGCCAAGGTCTTGAGATCTCTGTGCCACAAACTAAAGACCAAAACACACGTTTCTTAGTATAAATCAAAATATCACAGTAAAGAACTTTCTAAGAGACTGATTAGGATGACAACATGAACCCAGTGAACAATCAATCACCACTGAGAAACTCTTGACAATACTTGCTTGCTGATGTGACACAATAGGAACTACGCATTACCTACAAAGTATTCCCACTAGAAGAAAACTGACCTGAAATGAATTCAGCCTCTAGACCTAACTACAAGTTTCCAGGAAATATGGAATAGATAGAGGAAGACATTAAAAGGACACCTCAAAGATGTAATCAACCAAATTTACAATGTGGAAAACTGAGCAGGACAAATGACCATTATCTCAACAAATAATGACACTTAAAAACAGGGTAAGAGTAGTACTGTAGATTAAGAGAAATTTAAGAGACATATAAAAAAAAATACAATAAAGGAAACCTTATCTGGAACTTGATTTAAATGCTGTAAAAAGACACCTTTGAAACAAATGGGAAATTTTTTAAATGGGACTGGGTACTGTATAATATAACTGTACACGTTAGATACATTTTTTTAAGCAGTGTTAGACTTTTTGAAACATATGGGTAAACAGAGGCAGAACACCGAGAACTACTGAAGCTATGTAATGAATACAAGGGGATTCTTTACACTGTTCTCTCTACTTTTCTAAATTTCTGATGATCTTTCTTTCTGTCTCTATTTTTGAGAGAAAGCGAGAAAGAGACACCATGAGTGGGAGAGGGGCAGAGAGGGAGACAACAGAATACAAAACAGGCTCCACACTCTGAGCCTGTCAGCACAGAGCCCAACGCAGAACTCACAACTCATAAGCCGCGAAATCGTGACCCTGAAGCAAAGTCAGATGCTTAACCGACTGCACCACCCAGGCACCCCGAACGTCTGAGGATTTCTGTAATACAAAGTTTAAGAAAAAAAAAATCTACCTTTCTCTGAGAAGCAATACAACATAAAGGAAATAGCCCAGGCTTGAGAGACATATCTGAACATGAATCTTGTTTCTGACACTTGCTGGAAATAAAAGCTCACCTACAAATAGTAAGTTCACTCAGCCAATAATGATCTTAGGAAAAACTTTTAATTATGCATTTGTAAAGAAGCAAACTACTTACTGCCTAATGCTCAGTAACTGGCAGCCCATATTAGATTAGAATAACCCAAATTACAGGGTAGTCACTGCACATTAGGAAAACAGGATGAGCCACAAACAGTAAGAAATAACTCCTTTATTCTTACTCTATTCATCTTTACTAAAACCAGAGTAAAATTTCCTATCCTCAAAACCAATAACTCTCTACCTTACATCATATACAAAAATTGATTCAGAAGACCACAGACCTAAAGGTGAAACCTAAAACTATAAAATTTTTTTAGAAAACCAAGATTTGTGACATTGGATTATGCAAGATTTAAATATGACACCAAAGCAAAATCTCTAAAAAGAACAAACTAATAAACATAATCAAAAACTGCTCTTCAAAAGACACCATTAAGGAAATGAAAGACCAACCCACAGACTGGGAAAATAATTTTAGAAGTAAGTAGCAGATAAAGAACTTTTGTCCAGAATATAAAACAGGCTCTTAAAAGAAAATAAACCACCTAATTAAAAAAAAAAGATTTGAACAGACACTTCATCAAGATGGCAACAAAGCACATTAAGATGCACAGGGGCACATGGGTGGCTCAATCAGTTGAGTATCTCAAAAAAAAAAAAAAGCACATTATGATGCACAGGGGCAAATGGGGCTCAGCTGATCGAGTATTTCACAAAGCTCAGGTCACGATCCTATGGTACCTGAATTTGAGCCATGCTGTCAGTGCATAGGCCACTTTGGATCCTCTCAACCGCCTCTCTGCCCCTCCCCTGCTTGCACTCTCTCAAAACTAAACATTAAAAAACAATTGTTGGGGCGTCTGGATGGCTCAGTCCGTTTAGCTTCCGGCTTCAGTTAAGATCATGATCTCATGGTTCATTGGTTCGTTCGAGTCCCGTGCTGCGCTCTGTGCTGACAGCTAGCTCAGAGCCTGGAGCCTGTCTTTGGATTCTATGTCTCCCTCTCTCTCTGACCCTCCCCTGCTCATGCTGTCTCTACCTTTCTCTCAAAAATAAATAAAATATTAAAAAACTGTTAAAAATATACGTGCAAATAAATAAAAATAAAAAAGATACACAATATCATTTGTCATTAGGAAATGCACATTAAAATCACAATGAGGTGGCACCTGGATGGCTCTGTGGGTTAAGCATATGACTCTTGATATCGGTTCAGGTCATGATCTCACGGTTCATAGGATCAAGCCCTGCATCAGGCTCTGCGCTAACAGAGTGGAACCTCCTTGGGATTCTCTCTCCCTTTCTCTCAAATATTTAAAAATAAAACCATAATGATGAGATACCACTACACATCTGCCAGTAGTGCTGAATTTAAAAAGACTGACAATTCCAAGTATTGATGAAGACGTGGAAAAACTGAAACTCTCATGCATTACCAGTTAAAATTTAAAATGGTGCAAACACTTTGGGAAACAGTTTGAATGTTTCTTAAAAAATTAAACATATACCTACCATGCCATTCCACCCTTACATATTTACACAAGTAAAAAGAAAATGTGTCCATCCAAAGACTTGAATGTTCACAGCAGCTTTATTAGTAAGACCCCAACCTGAGAACCCAAATGTATATCAATAGATGAATGAATAAACCAAACATGATATATCCATATAATGACATACTACCCAGCAATAAAAAGGAATGAACCTGCGACAATGTTGTTGAATCTCAAATCAACTATGCCGAGGGATGGTTTCACAGGTGTTATATATATGACATACATATGTCAAAACTTATCAAACTACACTTTGTGCAGTTTACTGCACCTCTACTATACCTCAATAAAGCTATTTTAAGACAGAGAATGAACTGATACACATATTAACATAGAAGAGCATCAAAAACATTATGTGGAGCCAGATACAAAAGACTATATACGTTTTGTTCCACTTATATATATATAACTCATAAAAAGGATAAATTTAATGTGTAGTAACAGAAAGCAGATCATTATTTGCCTGAAATAAGATTGGGGGAGTGAAGAGATTAAGGATCAACTGTGATCAGTACAAGAGAACCTTCTGAAGTGATGGAAATGTTCTAAATCTTCACTATGGTTGTAGTTACATGAGTGTATACAAATATTATCAAAACATACATGAAAATGAGTGAATTTTATAGTAGGCAAATTATACTTAAGTGAGGCTAATTTAAAAACAAAAATAGCTTTGCCTTGACTTGGGTGAGAGAATATCACATTATAATAAAGGTAAGACCAGTGGGGCACCTTGGGTGGTTCAGTTGGTTAAGCATCCAACTTCAGCTCAGGTCATGATCTCATAGTTCAGGAGTTCAAGCCCCACACTGGGCTCTGTGCTGACAGCTCAGGGCCTAGAGCCTTCTTCAGATTCTGTAACCCTCTCTCTCTGCCCCTCTCTTGCTCATACTCTGTCTCTGTCTCTCAAAAATAAAATATTTTTTAAAAAATGAAAAAAATTAAGACTAGCAAAACTGGATCATTTGCACAAAAGGCAAGAAGCTTTAAGATTAGGATAAGATATATGCACATACCAAAACATTTTTTCCTACATTTCATATATAGGGCTGTATGGCACTATTTTCCACAATCATCAAAAATGTACCATGCAGGAGGCAAAATGACCCACAACTATCTTGTCTTCCAGCTCTTATTTGCATTCTGCTAAAAGCAGTGGTAGAAAGATGAGATAAGGTAATAGAGCCACTTATCTACAGACACAAGTTAATTGTTTCTTGTTCTCACAGGGGCTACTCTAAACCTACACTCTATGCTTCAAGCGAGAGACCCACCTTTCCTCATCATTCTCACCAAACTAAGAAAAAACTTTGGCTTCCTTCTTCTGCCCCACCACTTCAAGGAACATTCCTGTTTTATCTTTCTGCCTCTTCAAAATTATTCTCTCTTGTCTCTGTAACTGTACTCCACTAATTATTCCCTCTCCTATTGCAAAAATTTATCTATGTGGTTTTAAACCTTTATCCTACAATCAAGATGTTCTTCCCCTTGACCCTATAATATCCTCCCTTCAACTACTATCCCCTTTTCCATGGATATCAGGCTTCTGTAAGAAATAGTGTATGCTGATATCCAGTCACCCTTCAACCTGGTTTAGTATAGCACCCTCTGGCAAAAAGTCAAGGCTTTTCCCACTGCCAAATACAACAACCTTTTTTTCAGAACCACCCTGGTCTCTCTAGCACATCTGCTGCTGCTTATGACACCCCACTGACCCTGGATTCACAGCCATTCTTTGACTAGCTCCTCCTCACTTTCCATTAGTTCTCCTATGCAGGCATCCCCTAAAGAGCGTTGTCAGCCCACTTCTCACTCTACACTTGCTTTCTCTTTGGGCAGGATCATTCACACTTAGGTTTTAGTGACTTAGGAGTATAATAGCTGTCATCCTCCATTTTTTTAAATTACTTAAATGCTGTAACATTCGCATATAATGCTGAAAAAAGAACAATCTCTGTAGCACAGCCTGTGAGGTACTTTACAGGTTGGTTGCATCTGAACATTCTTAATTTCTGGCCCAATCTGTATATTACACCTCTCAAAATAGGTCTTTATTTTCTGGGTAACCAGTTTTGTTGACATAGGATATACACACAAAAAAGTATAGCATCCTAAGTATATAGTTCACAAATAACCATAAAGTCGCTTATGTAATCACCACTCAGCTCAAGAAATAGAAAACACTGACATTAATCCAGAAAGCCTCCTTGTCGCTACCAATGCTTCTTCCCTAAAATATCTTAAACTCTAAACACATAAAGCCTCCTATTACCCAAACAGTCTATACACTAATTATTGGATCTTCTGTTCTTCCCCTCCCTACACCAATGTCCATGTCTCTCTTAAAGGCAAACTCAGTTATTTTTCTCTGTGGCACTGGTTCATCTTTGTTTAGATATCACTTTAAATGTATCTCTACTACAATACTTTTGCACCGTTATTATACCATTCAGTCATTATTCACTTGGTATTCTTTTCTACAGGCAGAGATCACAAAGCACCTATCTGTGTCTATAGCAACTAGTCCAGTATTGCCACAAAAACAGTGTATCCAATAAATGTTGGGAATTTTTCATGAAAAACTTAAAACTCAAACCATCTTTGGAAGAAGACCCTTCTATATCCAGTTCACCTGTGCGACATTCATTGCAGATAAATTTTCCTCTCGGCATCTCAGTTAATCCAAGGCACTCCAGGTGGAAAGCCCCACAGCACTGAGCTTCACATAACAGCAGCTCACCCAGTTTCTCACAGTTCTGTTAAGAGAAAGAAGACAGGTATGTCTATAGAAAAAGCATTTTAAAAGTCCCAAGCAAAAGGCTTTCATGAAGACAAAGGTTAAGTAGTAACTTTCTGGAAAGCAGAAAGCCCTTTCTTCACTCAGCCAATATTTAGTGATTAACTCCTCTATGCCAGGTACCACAAGGTCCCGTGGCTTTCATGGCTCATATATTCTAAGAATAGAAAATACAAGTAAACAAACAAACAGGAAAGATACCAGAAAATGATAAGATTAGGTAGAGAATTCAAATAGCTATTTTGGATTGGATGATTAGGAATGGCCTCTCAGACAGGGTTCTGAAATACAAGTCAGTCATGTGAATCTGACAGAAAGACCAGGAAGAACAGTATAGAAAGTTCACAGATAGGAAAAACTATGTCATGTCTAAAAATCATAAGGAAAATCAGTGGACTAAAGTGAACAAAAGTTAGAAGTGGTAGAAGATGAGGTAAAAAAAAAAAAAAAAAAAAAGGCAACAAGCTGATCGATTGTGTGGCCTTACACATTATGGTATAGTTTCAGATTTTATTCTCATTACAAAGATGTACCATTAGAGGGCTTTATGAAGGGAAGGCTAAAATCAAATATTAATTTAAAAACAGATCTGATTACTACATGGAAACTGAGTTTAAGAATGAGATATGTGAGAACAGTAGCAAAGAGATAATCAAGAAGGCTACTCTAATAGTTCAAGCAAGAGATCTTGATTAGCTAGACATGGGTTGTAACAGTCCCAAAAGGGCTCCACTCAAGGTCTGAACGACCTTTCAGATACATCTACAACCATCTCAAGAGAGGTCACCTTTCTAAAATGATCTCATCTAAGATAGGGTACCATTTTTGACTGGGCCTTAGGAAATAAAGATCCAGATGTGTTTCAAAACACTGTAAGATTTATGAAAATTCTGCAAATTCCCAACATTTGTTACTTTTATCCCTCTTAACACTCTAACTTGTTTCCCCATACCGATTTAGCAGAAAAATACAAAAATGACAAAAAGTCTCATACTTATTATGTAAGAGAAGAAAGAGAAAAAGTGACTAGGCAAGTCTAATATGTTTAAGAACCCAAGAAACAGAACTGGTCTTGGCCACTTAAACATCATAACTTAAATAAAGAAAGTAAGTAGGAGAACTTTGGGGAAAAGGTCAGAGATAGCCAGGGATTAAGAGCAGACAGACCTCAAGGTCTTAATAAACCAACAGTATAAGTTAGTCTTATTAAATTTTGTCTATTCCACTATCCCTTATTAACATAAAAATTAAAAAATGCCATGTTTTGTATATTCACAGTGCCAGTGATACCAGCTTTTATGTACAATAAACAAATTTGCTTTCATCATTTAAACAGGAAAACTTCAATTATAATACATATCAAACACTAATGTTTTCAAATTAACCAGAAGTTAGAGACTAACCCTTTAATTGGGATGACTATGTAATTCATCTTTCAAATTAGGAACCACGTTAGTGAAAGGACACGATATTAACACAATATTATACAAGGACAATAGATTTAAACAAAGAGTGACCCAAACAATCCAAGGCCTTAAGGCCACTATACCCTTAACCATTTTTTCTTGATAATCTTTGTGGGCATACAATCTCTAAGGACTAACTAACACTGTGTTTCAGTGCTCATCTGAATATGATCACCCTTCTTTGTGGAAGAGTGAAAATGAACAAAGGAACAAATCTTTTCAATCAGAAAAGAAGAAACAAACCCAAGTATCTTCAATTTTTTTAATATGCCAGCTTTTAAGAATTTATAATTTACAAAAGTAAATCAAGCCCATAAATAGCATAATCAAAGCATCCATTTAACTGACTCTACTCTTAAGTCTGATAAAGGCTCTTTACACAGAGGCAACACAACATAGTGGTTAAGTCTCTAAACCCAGACTGCCTGGGTTTCAATCCTGGCTTCACTGTTTGGCTATAAGCAGGCTATGTAACATATTTATGCCTCAGTTTCCTCATCTATAAAAGTGAGGATAATAGTGGTAATCTACTTTACAAGACTGTTATGAAACTCTTGATAACACAGTAGGTACTATATAAATACGTATTAAGAGATGAAGAAGGCTTCTCTCAAAAGACAAGTAAGCAATCAAAATTCAAGTGGGCAACATCTTCTACCTGACAAACATTCTCCTTGAGTGCAGCTCCTCCGCCTCGTTCGCCCTGAAGCTTTTTAGATGCTGGCATCCCATGATCATTCTCTACACCCTCCTCAACAGTCTCCTTGGGGCTTGCAGGCGTTCTGTGTGTCATCAGTTCTCCCTTGCAGAGAAAAAATAATGTCCCATATCTGTATTATTCATGTCTCCTCCATCTGACCCCCGCCCTCTGGGCTGCTATTTGTCTAGCCATTAAGCACTTACAGATGTTCAGCCAATCACGCGGGCGGACTGCATGCAATGTTAGTTCTAACCCTGCTGTGATTGGGCGGGTAGTGGGCGCCTCATGCCCTGCCACTAACTGCTCTGAGGCTGTTCCACTGGAACTTTTTGAGCTGTTCCATTTTAAGGTTTCACTAAGGGAGAGAAAACATTCTTAAGTTTATTTGATTACTTATTTGTCCTTCCAAGATCAGTGTTTCCTAAATAATGCCCAACTTGGGCATTCTATTCAAATTATCCTGGAAAGAAACACTCTGTATCATAATGTATAATGCTGACCTGACTTGTCCTAATTCTCCTTTGAGTTGAAAAGCCAGAGAGCATCAACGACTGCATTGATGTTCTGCAAGGAAACGGTTTTAAATCTACCTTTGTTTCCTTAAAGCCAATGTTTACAAATATTATTCTAAAATTAAGCAGATGTCGGTTTCAAGAAATAAGCAAATGAGTTTCCTTCGCCTCTAATCATAGCAGTCTCAACTATTAAAGGGCAGTATGAAAAGTTCATTCAAATTATATGGTTACTTGTTATTGTGCTCTTTGGTTTTAGAAAAAGCTTACTTTGTGATGAAACAGTTATAAAATTCATCAGACACCTAGAGTATAGGATGTTAAAGATCATAACCATAGTTGCCATATATTGTCTTCCTGATTTTTACTAGCATCAGGCTCTCCTTTTACTCCAGGATTCCTTATAGCTTTTCATTAGCTGTTTCAGTAGAACATTATTCTTATCTCAACTCAAGGGAAAGAGGGATGTGGCCTCTACTGTGAAAAGTAGATCTGCTTTGGAAGGTCAAAAGATGAGGAACTGAGTAATACCTCTGAACCTGGAGTTTCTTTTGATGAGTCGTCATTTTTCATTTTTTTACAATGCACCTTGGCCGTAGCATGCCTCTGTCGTTTTCGCTTCCTTGGTTTATCAAATATCTTGGTAGTGCCTATGACAGGAAAACAGGTGTTACCTCCTGACTAATCACTTACATATCCAAGAACTCCTATCCTCAACTAAAAGGACCTCATAGAATTATGGAATGTTAGAGCAAAAAGAACAATCAAAACCCATTTAATTCCCCAACTTGGTAGATGAGGCACAGAGAGGGAAAGATTTACCCATGACTCTGTACTTAGTTGGGAAAATATCTACACATAAATTCTGCCTCATACACATTAAATAGTAAATGTTTAAATACGTTAAAAAACAATTTTATTTTACAGGATTGAAATGAAAAACTTTGTAATCTGCCAAAGGACTTTAATATCCTATAGATGGGAAGGAAATACATTTAGTAGTCAAGAAAAGATACTAAAACCCAACCTTCACAATTAAAGACAGTAAATTATAACAGTATAGGATTTAAGGATTAAGATGAAAGGCTGAAATACATAACATCTGACGTGAGGAAAGGAGAGATCTCCCCTAATAGATTTAGTAGCTTAAAGGATATTTAGCAATGGTACTATAAACTTGAACATCCAACAATTTAAAATATATGTATGGTCTAATCTGGCATACGTGCAAAATGAAATTCCAGTTTCTCCCTCATTGTCTTTTATATTTACTTCACCCCTTTGTTATAGAAATATCAAGGGATCTGAAGTAATATTTCATAAAAGATTCCAGGATAATTAGGCTAGGTATCAACATGAAGGCTAGACTCTGGAAAATTGAAAACTGACTTAGTATTCTCTTCTTGGGACTGCCTGATAGAGATGGAGAAGCTCTGCTATCAAAGCTGCTGACTGCCTATGACTAAAAGAATAACTAATAGAATAGCAGAAGCAAGGTTCAAAATTCTCAGGAGTTGAAATATTCAGATGAAATTTACAGTACATAAAGCACAAGTTTTAGGTTTTACAAAAACTAGAGTACAAAAGTATAAGAGCAAAGCTGATATTATTTTGAAAGTTTTTTTAGAGCAAGCAAATTGACGAAACCTAGGAAATTATATTTGCACACAAGATTAACATAAGTGAATATCCTGCTAGATTTACTTACTAGAAAACTTAATAATTATGGGTCACATCTAAAGATGTGCTCATGGGTCACATATAAAGATGTGCAATATAACCTTCCAATGGTAACTTTTGCTGGCACATCTGATGCAGTGTGCTCAAATCTGGCCTAACATTTCAGATATGACAGTAATCAATAAATGGCACTGTCAGATGAACGATCAAAGTGGCAGAAAGAATTGGCATGTAGAAAATTTGGGGTGTATAACAAGATGGTAGTGTGGCAATGAATGTGGTTAGGTATGGATTTACTCCTCCCAATTCTGCCACTTCTTTCATCTAAACATTCTTCTGTAAAACAGGGATAGTACGGATAATATCCTAATTCTCTATAATGCTTTAGATGGATTAGAGGTTAACAGTCCAAGGCAAAGGAACTGAGCAAAGGACCTGACAGAGTAAATGTTCAAATTACCATTATAGTATGTTACTCAATAAAACAGCTTCCCATTCCTCCAATTGGCAGAACCAAAATCACTGAGTCTTAAGTTTCAGGAGTCACATTCAAAAACAATTTAAAAGATTTCTAAGCCCTTAAGAAGCAACCACAATGGATCAGACTGAAATGAAGCTCCCTTTTTCAAGCATATGCTCAATCACCAAAGATCATAGATGTGGTAAAAGAAACTAAGACTATTTGTGAAAGATTGGCTTAGATGACTTGTAATTTCCCTCTCAACTCAGATTCCATTATTTTCTGTCCTACAGAATAAAAACTGAATCAAAGCCAAGAAAGTATTGATAGAGTTGGAGAACCATCTAATAAGAAAATTAAGTAGATCATTTTTCTCTATTGTTCCTACCAGTTCCTTACTCTAACAGAATTCTAATTCAAGAATTCTAAATTCGAAATCCATTAATCCTAATTTCAGCATGAAGCCAAAGATGACCAGCCAATTTTCTAGTATCATGCATTCTACTGGGAACCATATTTTGGACAGTCTTTTTTTTTTAGGTTTACTTATTTATTTTTAAGCAATCTCTACACCCAATGTAGGGCTCAAACTCACAACCCTGAGATCAATAGTCACATGCTCTTCCAACTGAGCCAGTCAGGAACCAAGTCTTCCAACTGAGCCAGCCAGGAACCCCTTGGGCAAACAAGTCTTAGAAGTTGCAACCTCGCTGGTCTTGATTACATATGTAACAACCTTTCTAGTTAGCTGACAAGGTGCTTCACAGTTGTTTCTGCATTACATTTTCTCAAACATTTAAATCTCAAAAATACGCACCTCCACCAAACTCTTTAGAATGAGATGCAGCACGTGATTCATTAATGTCATTCTCCAAGTGACCAGCTTCATAACACTACAAATAAATAAAATGCAATAGGTTTACAAAGGAACAGAAAATAAACCCTTTATATTATATGCCAAAAGTTGAACTGTCTACTGTCAAATACAGAAATCCTGGCTGTATTAAAATTTAAAAAATGGTATAACGTGACGGATTGAACAGAAACTGCATGGGGAAAAGACATGACATAAAACTCGACGATAAAAAACACAACTCCAAAAGACTCATACAAAACACCTACTCCTTTAAAAATAGGGGATAAGAGGTGGGTGGGCTTATGCAGCAACTCTCAATATGTCAAGCAGATACAGAACGCTGCTCTGACTGAGGTGAAAGACAAAGAGAAAGAAAGGGTATGTTACCAGAGACCGGCCCATCATCTGTTCTGTTCTATACCACTGTGTATTTAAAATCTATTTTCTTAAAATTGCATTTATACCCATTGTTTTTACAAAGACATACTTACTTGGTGAATTCTAAATATTAAAGAGCTCTGAATCAGTGCTTGCTTCTGTAACACATATACTAGAATGCTCTAAACCACAGAATGTCTTTCTGATTTGAGTGGCTGCAGGTTAATGTAAATGAAAGGAACATTAAAATCAAAACAAAACAGGGGTGCCTGGGTGGCTCAGTTGGTTAAGCGTCCAACTTTGACTCAGGTCATGATCTCATGGTTTGTGGGTTTGAGCCCCGCGTCAGGCTCTGTGCTGAGAGCTAGCTCAGAACCTGGAGCCTGTTTCAGATTCTGTATGTCTCTCTGACCTTCCCCTGCTCACGCTCTGACTCTCAAAAATAAAAATAAAATAAAAATTTTTTCTTAAAGACATAAAAAAATTTTTTAAAAATTTTAAAAATCAAAACAAAAAACTCAGACAACAAGAGTAATTTCCTACATTTTATTTCCCTACTAATACTGTCTGTATAAATTAGTTCCAGTCCAAGAAAATGCCTTCTCCTACAATAAAAATATTCTTCAACATGACTGTAAAACAAAATTTAGTGGCCACAGAAAGTCAACATAATGGATGCTATTCTTGCTGTAAAGGTGCTAAAGCTTGGGGTGAAAACAATATGTAGAGCAGCAAATTTTAAAATGCTCACTATATAAATTAGCCAAACTATTCACTTAATGTATGTCAGCTACATATCGATAAAACGGGAAAAATCATTCACTTAATTGGCCCAAATGCTGATTTCTTTAAAGTCTGTCATTATCTCACCTCTAGCAGTGATGACATAGCCTTACCTAACTCACCTTGTATAAAACTACTAAATTTATCAACTGATTGCAAATGTCCCTTCCACGCTCAAAATATTCAATTGAATCTCAATTTCCCTGTCCCTGACAATCTACCTCTTCCAACAATCTTGAAAATGGCTAAGATTTGAATAAGACAAGGCTAGGGGACAAAGCATTGCAGAAGGAGACAATCATAGCCTTATAAGTGTAAAGTGCAATGAGAGGATGATGATTTGGAGACATGATACTGTCACTGATCATTGTACAAACTGCAGATAAAGTTCAGAGAGCAGATGAACCTAAGAACTGAAAGTCTAAGTCCTAAGACAAAGTCCCAGTCTTAGGACATGGACTGAGAAGAATAAAAGAATTAAAGGATATAATGCAGCCTCATTTTAAATGAGGTGCAAGGGCGCCTGGGTGGCTCAGTCACTTAAGCGTCGGACTTCAGCTCACCTCATGATCTCACGGTTCAGGGGTTCAAGTCTGCTTCGGGCTCTGTGCTGACAGCTCAGAGCCTGGAACCTGTTATGGATTCTGTGTCTCCCTCTCTCTCTGACCCTCCTCTGCTCAGGAGGTCTCTATCTCTCAGAAATGAACAAAAAAATTTTTTTAAATTTTTCAAAGAAATAAAATACAATGAGGTACAAAAACACAAATAATGAATTTTACATTTATACGCTAATCGACATGAGTGAATATCTAACAAAAACAAAACCTAGGGTCCTTAATAGGATTAAATGATAGAAGGCTGCTATAGCTAAGTAAAGAAGTCTAAAAACTCAAATTATTTGTGATTTGATTGCAATCTCCATTTTTTCTTTAATCGGAAATCTGTGCATCCTAACTACTGAACTAATACTTACCCTGAGTTAGTCCTCACACATATGGGCAACAGGATGTTTCTTAAAAATTAATATCCAACTATTATCATTATAGAATTAGAAAACAATTTTCTACCTCCATCTACTATTTAATGATGCTTTCTTAGGGGCGCCTGGGTGGCTTAGTCAGTTAAGCGTCCAACTTTCGCTTAGGTCATGATCTCGCGGTTCATGGGTTCAAGCCCCACATTGGGCTCTGTGCTGACTGCTAGCTCAGAGCCTGGAGCCTGTTTCAGAGTCTGTGACTCCCTCCCTCTCTGACCCTCCCCTGCTCACGCTGTCTCTCTCTCTCTCTCTCCTAGAAATAAATAAAACATTAAAAAAAAAAATGATGCTTTCTTAGCTAATGAAAACCAAGTCTGCAAACTCAAAAACTTAAATTCAAATGCTTCTATCTAGTTTATAATTGAGCTGAGTCTTTTCTGAGGTGGTATGCAGATGAGCAATGGGATAAGAGTAGGTTAGTGGCTTACAGACAGAAGTGAAGTAGAAATCAGGTAAGAGTTTTTGAGCCCAGAAAAGAAATGACAACAAACACAAATTTTACCAATCTTAAAACCTCTTTTCATTTTCATTTGAAAAGAAAATCTAAAACCAACTGATAAACATGTCCACACAAATGCAAAACAGTCTCTCAATATGGCATCTCTGAGACCAAATGAATATACTCTAACATTCTATAATCTCTATGTTAAGTGTGCATCAATGTAGCTAAGTATTACTATAAGATTTGTTTTTAAAATGTATTTCCATTTCGTTTAATCATATTTTAGAATGCACTAAAATAACATACCTTTTTAGAAAGGCCAAGATCCCCTTTCTTGGGCATAAATCCCGGGTCTAAATCGTTGGATTCAAGAAGTTTCTTAGTTGGTTTTCTCTGACGTTTACTTTCATAATTTCCTGAAATGCATGTTATCTTTTCATTAGATGATTTAGAAACTGGGCACATGCTACTTTAAAAAAAAAAAAATCTATACGTCACATAAAAACGAATCGCCATAATTTTTGTTTTCCTCCTCATCTTCTGGGTAGTAACAGGATAGGAATTTATTTATTCTAAAATATTAATTAACATAAAATAATAGTTCTCAATGAGGATACAAACTAATGTGAAGATATTTTTATATAACTCTCTCATAAAAGGACTAAAGGAAAAATTAAAAAGGGTAGAACTGCTCTTATAATAATTAATTGGTAGTAAGGACAAAAGGAGAATAAGGTGAAGTAGAGCCTGAATTTAGGCATAACAGCACCAAGATCTCAATATTTATTCTGCTCCTAACCAAATAAAAGAGACATTTACTTTGTAGGGCTGTTCTTAAGAATTATATAAAAGAGCCTAATAACAGAGTTTGGTACACAAATAAATAATGAAATAGTAACTATCATTATTACTCATTTTTAAGTCTTTTTGATTCTGCCTTGATTAATAAGCACAACTGTGGTACTTTTATTTTCTTTAAGGAATAATATCACAAGCTATTGTTAGGAATATAAAAAAAATTACATCCGAAATTTTCCTTCAGTGACTATAATATTCAAGAATCAGAAGGTAAATTAAAGACCATATGTTTAGATCCAACTCCCAAAAGGTTGACATGTATAAAAGGATGATAAAGTGAAAATCAATTGGTAATTAATTTCAAGGGAATATTTACAATTAGCTGCTTACTATGTATCAGGTAAACTACATTATGATGTCCATTTTATATATGACGAAACACGTTGAGAGGGGTTAAACAACTTCCTAAGTAACACGAGGATTGGTGGAGTCAGTATCTGAAGTATAAGTTTCATGTTATAGTGTGTAGTGCCCCTCCCCCAAGCCCTGTTATCCTGAGTGTTGACACACATGGTGGTTGATCAACAGTCTTGAAGAGTAACAGTGTAGTAAGGAGAATCGTTTTTAAAATATTTCTTCTGGACAGTGTACCACCAATTCATGGCCACTGAATTATATTCATTTGGCCAGCACTTTTGGGATTTCCCAAGACAAGAGTGGGTAGTTTGTTGTACAGAGATACACTATTAGCTTTTCATCACAACATACTAAAATCCTATCCACTTACATACTGAGATCCCAACCCCATCTTACCTGGTGTTTTAACTAGCAATTCCTCAGACTCAAGGGCAGGCCGTGGAGAGACTTCCGGAGCCACAGGCACAGACAAGGTCAGCTGTGGCAACTCAGCATGTCCACCTCCAAGTTCTGACTGAGCCACAGGCCCTTCCAAAAATGGAGCCTCCCGTTCAAGAACTGGAGGCTCTTCTTTGGTTGAAATCAAAGAACTCTCATCCACCCGCTTGTTCTGAGCACTAGATCGACATCGGGCTAAAAGGCTTTCCTCTTCACAGCGGGAACTTACCTAAGGGCAAAAAACAGAAGTAGAATCCATAGACCAAAGTTGCTTTAATTCCATTGTTAAAAATAATGTACTTAAAAATGAAATTCTGACACATGTTACAACATGAATCAACCTTGAAGACATTATGCTAAATGAAATAAGCCAAGACATAAAAGGATATTATATGAGTCCACTTATATGAGGTAACTAGAATAGTAAAATTCAGAGACAGAAAACAGAATGGTGGTTGCCAGGGGTGAGAGGAGAGTAAAGTGGGAAGTTATTCTTTAATAGGTAGAGTTTGAGTTTGCCAACATGAAAAGAAGTCTAGAGATGATGGATGGTGGTGATGATTATTGCACAACAACGTGAATGTACTTAATGACAGAGAACTATACACCTAAAAATGTCTACAATTCTAAATTTTATGTTGTATGTACTTTACTGTGATCTTTAAAAAAGGAAAATGAAATTAAGATACACTAAAGCTATAATTCTTTAAGGCCATAGTGATAATACTCCCTGCCCACAAAAATATTTTTTAATGTTTATTTTCTTTTATAGTTTTTATTTACTTTTGAACCAGAGACAGAGCATGAGCAGGGAAGGGGCAGAGAAAGAGGGAGACACAGAATTCTAATATTTTTTTCTTTCTTTTATTTATTTATTTCTAGGAGAGAGACAGACAGAGTGAGCAGGAGAGGGTCTGAGAGAGAGGGAGTCACAGACTCTGATACAGGCCCCAGGCTCTGAGCAGGCAGTCAGCACAGAGCCCAACGCGGGGCTCGAACCCACGAACCGTGAGATCAGGACCTAAGCGAAAGTCGGACGTTTAACTGACTAAGCCCCGGAGCCCCGGGAGACACAGAATTTGGCATCCAGGCTCTGAGATGACTGCAAAAACCCGATGAAGGGCTTGAATCCATGAACTGTGAGATCATGACCTGAGCCGAAGTCGGACGCTTAACCAACTGAGCCACCCAGGTATCCTTAATGTTTATTTATTTTTAAGAGAGACAGAGACAGAGCATGAGTCAGGGAAGGACAGAGAGAGAGGGAGACACAAAATCAAAAATGGGCTCTAGGTTTCAAACTGTTAGCACAGAGCCAGAAGCAATGCTAAAACCAACAAACTGCGAGATTATGACCTGGGGTTAACATGGACACTCAACCGACTGACCCACCCAGATGCCCCACACATATACTTCTTCTTGATCAAAGGGGGCAAAATATGACTTAAAAGAAACTAGTCAGGACTGTGGACAACTGGATGTTAAATACCTTCTAATGTCATGTAATATATGACATAGTAGCACCTATAATTTAATCTAGCTAAAATTGTTTAACTTGAATCCATCAAATTGTTTTCAATTTAACAAGGAAAATAGAGGATAGATTAGTGACACCTTTAAAGAAGCAATCATACAAATCTAGAAGGGGATACTGTAAAGGTATTCACTCTCATTATTTAGATAGAAAGAGTCATAGAACAGGGAAGTTGTTCTGGATTTAAAGAAATTTAAAAAATATAACATCTAGATATAATGTGTAGTCTTGGAAAGGATAAACCAAATACAAAAGTCAGAGGACAAGTGAGGATATCTAAATATGGATTTCTTATTAGATAAACCGATCTTATCAGATATGGTAATGTTGTATCAGTTATGAAGGGAAATGTTCTATTTTTTAGAGGTGCATATTATTTAGGGATTGAAGGTAAAGTGTCTTAAATTTACTTTAAAGTACTTCAGCTTAGGGGCACCTGGGTAGTTCAACTGATAAAGCTTCTGACTTCAGCCTAGGTCATGATCCTGCTGTTTAAGCCCCACATCACGCTCTGTGCTGACAGCTCAGAATCTACAGCCTGTTTCAGATTCTGTGTATCCCTCTCTCTTTCTGCCTCTCCCCCATTCAGGCTCTGTCTCTTTCTCTCAAAAATAAACAAACATTAAAAACAATTTAATAAAAAAATAAAATACATCAACTTAAAAAAAATGAATTAAGGGGTATCTAGGTGGCACACTCAGAAGACTGTGCAACTCTTGAACATGGGGTCATGAGATCAAGCCCTAAGCTCGGTGTAGAGATTACTTAAATAAAAATAAAACTTCAGAAAAACTGAATTAATAAAGCAAATAAGGTATCAGTAACATTTGCTTTATGATCCTACCATATAGATTTATATTCTATGATTTTTCTAAATACTTTATCCTAAATCATTACTCTTTGAAAGGGGAGAATTTTTTGTGTGCACACACACTATATACACATATACATACACACACACAAATATATATACATTACTATACACAGTGCATAGACACATTTATACATTTCCTGTATAATTAGCATATTCTAAGTAATGTGCCAGAAACTGGTGATAAAAAGCTGAAAAAGCAAGATCCCAGTTAAGAAATTTATTATCCCATGCAAACAAAATATAATATTGAAGACAAAACTGCAGCATCCTACAAAGACTGATGAAAAGACTATGTTGGAACACACCTTGTGCACCTGTTCCTGTACCTTCTTTTGTTTTTTCTTAGGAGCAAATATCTGATCATATTCTTCTGTATATTCCAAAAGCCACTTGCTTGGCTTCCTAAGACGCTTCTTCTCTGACCGCACAGCTAAAAGAGGAACAAGTTCATATTAACCAAAAAGTTAGAGAACTGTTTTCATGCAACCATCCCTGCACTCTCAAAGTTACAGAGATGGGAAACTTTGAAAAAACACTCTGCTTAAGCTCCAAAAGGCTAAAAGTAGATTTCCTATGGTTTCTAATATGCAAAAGTTGAGAGCAAAAAGACCTGTGTTGCTCTATACACATACACATAGCCCATCTGAAGTTAAGGAAAAGATTAAATTGAAACTAACTGGTATTCTTGTGACAGATACGCCTAACATTAAAATATAGTCTAAATCAAGCAAATTCAAAAAATACATCATGAGCTATTTTAATAACATCCCTCTGGATTTTGCAGAATACTGCATGGATATTCAGATGAAAATTTTACCTAATCATTACTACCATGAGAATTTCAAAAGCAATTTACACAACTTCATATCATGGTTGTAGTGAGTTTCACATTAGAAACCCGAGGAATATTTCTAAACAGAATCATTTAAAAATATGTAAATAATTATACATACACTATTACCTCAGTGACATAAAATGTATATGCCATGTATGTCAAAGTCAGGATAAAAAAAAAAGAGTTTAGGGTACCTTAAAAAGAAAAAGCTTGTCATATTTTATGGTCAAATTTTGGAAGTATCATACCAATTTTCATTGAATTAATGGTAAAACAATGATCTATTATAGTTTCCTGACAAAACATTGTCCCAGCTTAACATGCGATCATTCTTTTATGAGGTTTTTTGGAAGCAAAAGCTAATCAGTACAGAACATAAGACACAGTCTACTCAAGAGGCAAGAGGTATTTCATTACACAATGGAAATAGGAAATAATTTCTGCCTCAGCTGAATGTGGCAACACTGACATTCCGTCAATAAAAAAAAATGCAGAAGTTGAGACTAAAATGAAAAGGTCAAACGACAGCTTGGCAGAGGCTTTTATTCCTTAGATATAAGCCATAAAACTGTATTATGATAAGATATGGAAAATAATTTTTTTCTAACTCTCCTGTAATTTCACAGTAATAATATACCACTTAATTATTTCAATCTAATATATAAGGAGTTGAAAACTTATGTTGAGGGGTGCCTGTGTGGCTCAGTCAGTTAAGCATCCAACTTTGGCTCAGGTCATGATCTCACGGCTCGTGGGTTCGAGCCACACACTGGGCTCTGTGCTGACAGCTAGCTCAGAGCCTGGAGCCTGTTTCGGATTCTGGGTCTCCCTCTCTCTCTCTCTAAACCTCCCCTGTTCAGGCTGTCTCTCTCAGAAATAAATAAAACATTAAAAAAAAAAAAGCAAAAATCTTATGTTGACTTGAAAACCTGCGTATCAATTTTTAAAGTAGTTTCATTCATAAGTACCAAAACTTGGAAGGAACCAAGATGCAGGTGAATGGAAAAATAAACTCTGTTATGTCCAAACAACAGAATATTACTCAGCACTAAAATATCAAGCCATGAAAGATATTTAAATGCATATTACAAAGTGGAAAAAAAAATACGATATGAAAAGACTACATACACACTACATGATTTCAACTATATGACATTCTGGAAAAGCCAAAACTATAAAGACCATGAAAAATGGTTATGGGGTAGGGAAGGGACACATAGGAGAGATAGAGGGATTTAAAAAATAAGCAGAACACAGAGGATTTTTAGAGCAGCGAAAATAATCTGTAGGATATCATAATCATGGAAATATGTCATTATACATTTGTCCAAACCCAAATAATGTACAACACAAAGAATGAACCCTAAGGTAAACTGTGGACTTGGGTGATTATAATGTGTCAACATAAGGTTCATCAATTGAAACAAATGTACCACTCTGGTGAGAGATGTTCATAATAGGGAAGGTTGTGTATGTGTGTGGACAAAGTTGGCAATCTATGTGTCTTATCCTCAACTTTGCTGTGACCCCAAAATTGCTCTAAAATATTAAGGTATTGGGTGCCTGGCTGGCTCAGTCGGTTAAGTGTCCGACTTTGGCTCAGGTCATGATCTCAGTTTGTGGGTTCGAGCCCTGCATCAGGCTCTGTGCTGACAGCTAGCTCAGAGCCTGGAGACTGTTTCAGATTCTGTTATCTCCCTCTCTCTCTGACCTTCCTCTGCTCATGCTGTCTGTCTCTCTCAGAAATAAATTTAAAAAATTAAAAAAATTTTTTAATAAAAATTAAGGTATTAATAAAAAATAAAAAGTTAATGGTAGAGGCTGAAATACTTATCAAATTTATATACCTACAGAGCTCCCACTATAATTATGGGGCTTGACCTTTCAACCAATGCAATTATCTTAACATTTTTAAACCATGAACCTGTAAGTGACCGAAATTGGTATTTCCCAAGCAAGTATTTCAAAAGAAATTTAAAAACCCTTAAGCCAACCAATTACTTAAAATGTTCCCCTCAAATAATATCTGAAAAATCTTAGAGCAAAGAAATAAGCCAAATAGACCTTGAAATAAATATACATCTGTACCTGTGGCAGTTGATGGGTAATAACTTTATGCTCTGAGGCAAATACATTATGCCTTTAATGTATTCCCAAAGACATAGCATCCAAGTTTTTTTTAACACCAACAGCATTTTTTAACACATAAGACCAAGGAAATGGCAGGGGATAACAGGGGTTTACTATGCCCAAGTCACAGTTCAGCCATGTCACATTCATGAATTTCTAATCTTCACTTCAACACAAGGTAGGTGATAACACCCCCATTTTATAAAAAATGTAACTGAGGCTAGAAAAGGAAAGTGCCTTGCCTAAGTCCATTGAAATCAGTCCATTATTTAAGTGGCAAGGCAATGATTTGAACCAAAATCTGTCCACACTCCAAAACTACTGGGTACTCTTTACTAAAACCTATCCCTATACTGTCACATCATCATATCACTTTAACCAGTCTCCTTGCCACCATCTATCAATACTTTCCCATACTAATTGAAACTCAGTCCTAAAGAGGTTGTGTTCTCTCCTTTGTTGTCTTAATTTTTTTAAGGTTTTTATTTATTTCTAGGAGAGAGAGAGAGAGAGACAGCGTGAGCAGGGGAGGGTCAGAGAGAGAGGGAGTCACAGACTGAAACAGGCTCAAGGCCCTGAACTGTCAGCACAGAGCCTGACGTGGGGCTCGAACTCATGAAGTCGGATGCCTAAATGACTGAGTGGCCCAGGCACCACTCTCCTTTGTTTTAAAAGGTTGCACAGGCTAATCCTTCTTCCCTTTCCTCCTGAAGCCTCTGACCCCCATTCTATCTTTGAGTTCACTTCTCTCAGAGTAACTTCTCAGATTAAACTTTAGTCCTCCAGTTCTCCATTTCCTTGAGATCCACAAGAAAATCAGCAAGGACACAAAAGACTGGAAATTAAGAGGAAAACTATGTCTGACATACCTATTTACCTATTATGTTCTTGCACAAGTGCATGTATTGCTCTTCACCAAGTTATATACAACGATCCTTTAAAGGTTTAGGGTTTGGCAAACAACCAATGGGACTATCTTTTTTATGAATGTTTTTATTTTTGAGAGAGAGAGACAGAACATGAACAGGGGAGGGGCGAAGAGAGAGGGAGACACAGGATCTGAAGCAGGCTCCAGGTTGTCAGCACAGAGCCCAATGCGGAGCTCCAACTCACAAACCATGAGATGATAAGCTGTGCTGAAGTCGGACGCTCAACCGCCTAGGCCACCCAGGCACCCCTAATGGGACTATTATTGTAAATAATGTCTTATTGGAATACAGCCATGCTCATTTATTTGCCACTGATTTATGACTGCTTTTGTGATACAAAGAGTTGAGAGTGACAGAAGACAGTATGGCTTCCAAGCCTAAAATATTTACTACCTGTCTTTTTAAGGAAAAGATTACCAATCCCACCCCCCCCCTTAAATGTACAATAGAATAATGCCCTGTAAATAAAAACAGCCTTGTCATAATTGAATGACTTAAAACCTAAGATGCTTCCTGAGTTTGTTTCTTGTCCTCCTCAACTACTCCTGACACCACAACCCACTACTCTCACGTATGTTCTCACCTAGATTACTCATCCCACAAAACCACTTTAGAGCTGAAAGAACCAGAAGAAACTCACCATTTCCAACTACTCTACAAATGGCTAAAAGGAACTCATTTGCCAAACATAAAGAATATCAAGAACAAAAGAGGAATATGACCTTTCGAAACTAAAGGTAAATATTAAAAGGTAGAAAATTACAAAAGCTAATAGAGGAATAAATCATGCAATCCTCAATATATGGCACAGAGCAAATATGAAACTGAGCAGGAGCCAAAATATGATCATCATTAAGTTTCTCGGCAACTATACATCAATTCCTAGCACAGAGCCAGGACCTGTTGAAAAGAATGGAAATAAATTGTTCATACAGGACAAGCTTAGCAATGTCTTTTTTTGACTGCAGAGTATATACATATCAGCTGAAATAATGAAATATCCATAAAGTTAAATCAAACAAGTTTCCACGAACTGAAGATACATAAATAAAATGTGGTTTACCTATACACTGGAATTCTATACACCAATAAAAACCAAACTATTGAGGGACGCCTGGCTGGTTCAGTTGGTTAAACATCCTAATTTGGCTCAGGTCATTATCTCGTGGATCATGAGTTTGAGCCCCATGTTGGGCTCTATGCTGACAGCCTGGAGCCTGCTTTGGAGTCTCTCTCTGCCCCCCGCCCCGCCTCCCGCTTATGCTCTGTCTCTCAAAAATAAACAAACTTAAAACAAAAACAAAATATCGATACATGCTACAATATGGATAACCAGAAAAACATTATGCTAAATGATAAGAGCAAGACACAAAAGATCATATAGTGTATGATTCCATTAATATGAAATGTCTAGAAGAGGAAACTGGGGGGGGGGTGTTGAAGGTGAAATCAGTAGTTGCTGGGGATAGAAGTACAAACAAACTATAAGTGGGATGGAGGGCTCTTAATGGGTAGAACAAATATTCTAAAACTGAT